AATCAACATTGCGTCCGTAAAATGCACGGGCGTGGAAACACAAATCTAGCTTTCAAGAATTAGAACTAGAACTAGAATTAGAACAGATGAGTGACACAGGTATATGGTTTAAAAGAGAAAAATGTGACAAATAACTGAATACATGTTTTTGCGATCAGACATTTTAAAGAAAACACAAGGATATATATTTTGACAAGGGAAAACATTCAGTCTATAGGATACAACTGTGAATGGATATATTTAATTTATATGGCTTAATATAAAAACACATGGCTTGATTTAAATATGATATAAGCCACGTATACCGGCGAATATGATTCTACTGCGATAGGATGGATACGAAGAGTTTGGTTTTCACTACCTTCAGGCACACGCCTCTGATTCCAGGTGAACCATTTTATAATTGATCTTACTTAAAATAATAGATTCCATGATAACAATATCTCAATTGCGGATGGGAGGATGAGGTGATGCAAACACTTAAACAAACATTTTAATTTCTTAAAACTAAATTGAGCAATCCGTTTAGAAGTTATGCGTTTTGAAAATATAAAAATAATATTGCACGAGAAAGATAAAACAAAAACACCTAAATGATTCTTCTCTTCCTGTTATTTTGCGATTGATAAGACGTTAACTAAATGTTAATCAAAATGCAGCTCATTTGGTACCGTATTTTATATTTCACAATTCTTACAAAAGTCGTGGCCAAACAAATTTTATAAACGGGGATGTGTGTAGCATTTTCACCCAAACGGAGAGCGGCACATTTAGAGGTCGAAATTTAAGTATAATTTCCCTCGGGTTTAGTTCGATTTTATATCTGATAATGACCAATGATTTGTGTCATATGCGAACGTCTATCAATCAAAACTGATAACCACGCTTGGATAAATGCTAGCTAATGGAATAATATTTCTTACATTGAGTAACACACGAAGAGACAAAACGCGAAAGTAAGCCCTGTCTACAAAGTTTGCAAGTGGCCAGCCGCCATTGGCATGTTCTCCGAAGACCTGTTTTGAGAGATTTTAAAAATAGAATATAATGATACGGTCATTCTACGTCTTAAGTAATTCATCCGATTTAAAAATTAAATTTTATATATCATATCAAGACTCTTAGTGTATGGCTACTGTTCTATTCTAATGAATTAAAAACGAAGTATTTGAATCATAATTATTTCGCGATGCATATTTTTTAAGGCGAAAAATCGCAATGAAGCGTTCATTGCAATTTTTCGCCTTCCATTGCTTGTGTTTCTCAAAAGACGTCGCTTCAGTTTTATATGTGGAAACAACCGAGCCAAACTAAAAAAAAATCAAAATTTAAAAATATGAAATATGCAATATACAGCTGTTGTACGCATCAAACCCCTGTTTTATTCCCTAAATTGTCCTCAACTCAGGTTGGGGAATAGCTGATGGAAATTGAAAGTGCGAGGGACGAGACCAGAAACATTACATCTAGCAATGCCACACTACTTAGTACACCAGATGCAAATTGTCTTCGTCTACTATCCTACGCTGTTCCAAACATCACATCAGGTCTCTGTGGATTAATTAGTTCCAAATATTTGTTAACAAATGATCATTGTAATTGGGACATTCGATACACTAGTTGTTTCTAATTTGACCATATTAATTAATAATTACGACAATTGCCTCTACTGTTACATCTCTATTATTTTATTGGTCGAATATCCCCGCGCTGATGTTTCATATTTGGCCAAAATCAATAATTTAACTAGATTAATCGATCGGAGGGATCTAATTTGGATCTTGCGTATTATTCCTTGGGATCAAAGAAAGATCAAAGTGATCATTGATTGAAACACAGATGATCTAATATTTGTTCTTATTACTGATTCATGAGTAGGGTTTATAACATGACTCAATAATTATTGGATAAACTAGTGAATTTTCTGTGTTTTCCTGAGACAATGCCTTCATATGTATTGTGTTACCTATCATTCGTCCATCATTTTCAGCTTTATCAATTTCTAGAGTATGTCCAAAAGATATAAATACAGTGAAATAAGTTATATATATTCATACATACAACCTTTATACTGGACGGGCCAAAAATGTCCATAATTTCCTATGTTTAGCTCACATTGTATAAGCTATTGTAATCAGTCACTTCTCAGTCAATCTGTCCATCTGACTGTCTGTCCGTCTGTCTGTCAACACATTGATGGCTCGTCTGGAATCATACACGACAAATCAAATCCGGGTTTCACTTTTAAAATGTGTCTGTATAACATCTTTAATTTTTTCCCCGATAAGTGTCACCTCGTTTCAAATTGCGGATATTTTATTGCACTCTCCTCATGTGAGCCAACTACCCATGGCACTATTAATTGCATTTCATTGGAGATGCAACTGTCAATTATACAGTCATTTTCAAATGGCATCAGTATTTTAACGATATTTGGACGAAAATGATGTCACAAAACATAATGCATATTGCTAGCGTGGATGCGAAGTGTAAGGTAATTTGAGATAAGCGTTACAGTTTTGCAGTTATTCATGTCGAGCATATTGAAACCAGATGGCCATTTGGTGTTCACAAAAGTGGAGCTAATATAGAGTTGGAACGTTTGGGGAGTATTGAGACCAATAGTGAAGGTTAGGAAATCAATAAAAACAGCCGTTTAACAGATATTTTGCCCTCCCCCATTGAGTGGGACCAGAAAAAACTTTTTGATTTCAGGGGCCCAACATTTTTTTCCGCGAGGAAATATTCCTTTCCCTGTTGGTTTCCAGAGCCTCTGTGAGTCTCTGACCTTACTTGAGTTGTGGGTATAAAAAAGTAACGATTCCGATTGGCAAAACTGACGCCTGTTCGGGCTCGTCCGGGAATTGAACCCGGGACCTCTCGCACCCTAAGCGAGAATCATACCCCTAGACCAACGAGCCAGTCATAGCACGTCGTGATTCCACGGGTAATTCGTAGGTCGCTCCAAAAAATAGTCTCGGGTTACAGTCACTTCTTGTGTTGAGATTTATCAAAAATTAGGATTCATAAGCTTCAAACGCTTGTTATAATGATAAAAATAAAGAATCTTGTTCCATTTAGCAGTATCTAACGTAAAATACACGTGACTCTATTTCACCGCAGGCCTGTATACATGATATAGTAGATAGGTAACTACAGCTAACTAGTGCATGATTGATATGGCTTTGTTTGCTGATAAATAAATTACAACTTTTGTTATGACATGAAATTCAATTCACGTGTGAATTGTTTGACAACTTCCTCATAAAAACTGAAGTATAAAGTCGGAAAAATACATATATAAAATGAAAAACAATAAAAAATAAACTCCTTCTCAGAGATCAAAATATCGGGCTCGTCCGGGATTCGAACCCGGGACCTCTCGCACCCAAAGCGAGAATCATGCCCCTAGACCAACGAGCCGCCGATGAGAGTGTTACACATAAAGAATATTAAAACACAAGAGAATGAAACACACCTCAAGTGATCTGATTACCATGTAGACTAAGCTTACAAGGCCATTTCACATAGGCAGGAAGGGGGATGGGCAGTTGATTTTAAAACTCAGTCACCAGTGATTCATAAATATTTGATTACTTTTCGTGTTAAAATAACAGCACGTTGAATTATGTTTGCTGGACAATAAACATTCCCTACTTCAAAATCGAGCCCATTTTAAGCCCAAAATGAGGTTCCTTGATCAACAAAGTGTTTTAATAAATAATTTACATCATTTAAAAGTTACTTGTTGTCTTGATAAGAAGAAGAAAAATGAGCCGGTATTTTGTTGGCCTTGTTCCTTGAACAAACATCTGCTTTGCAACGTGTCTGCCTTCAAGGTACGGGTTTGAATCCCAGACAAAACAGACTTTTCTTGTTTCTCAGAGTCGCACTGCACGAATAAAATTCACAAACTTATTTCAGGGTATTCGCCTAAATAAAACGCTCAAATTATTACTTCAGAACTAATTTATGGACACTTTTCGTCACCAGTATTATCACTATTATACTTAGTTTCAAAACATGGTCAATGACACACCTTATCGACAATGTATCAGTGATAACAAATGGTTTTCTAATCTAATAACATTCCAGCCGCTTCATTAAAAGCCATTGTAAAACCTTTACTCAAAACAAAAATAAACCACACGAACAGCAAACAAACTTGTAATCACAAGCTAATATTATATAATAGAATGTTTTATTAACTTGTTATAATTTGGGCTAATTACCTGTGTCAGGTGTAAAAGTATCGTGGGAGAAATCACGCTGAGAAAAAACATATTCATCACACTGAGAAAAATATTGCAAAACGTTTAAAGTAAGTTTCAAAATCGTATCGCATTCTCTTGTCATTCTTCCTCTTTTGGGCATATTTTTTGATATTTTTCTTCATCCTTGGTACCCATCCTGGTACCCATGTGTCTCCAATATACTACAAGATACTTTACGAAGCACACTGTTCAATGATAAGTGTGTGTACCTGTCTTTAATCTAGTGATGTACGTAATTTATGTAGCATTCGCGAATTCAACCGACGGCTGACGGATTCACCGCTATTTGTGTGGCCAACTCATTCAAGTGTGAATAGTACCTGCTACTATTATTCCATTATATCTAAATGAGTTTGCCAAATAGCAGTAAATCCGTCATCCGACAGCCAGCCGGCGTCGCTGCGCAAATGCTACCTCAGACTCGTGCGTTTTCGACCCGTGCCACAAAGTCGTTTTGGCAAACTCAGTTGACCATTCAAACAAGGGTATTGGGTCCCTGTTGAGTAGATTATGTAATATTGCCACTCAGTGTGTCCAAATGATTATATGCATTTTATGTAAGTATGCTGTCTGATGTATGTGTGTTCGTTTTACCGGAAAGATCAACGACATTGCAGATGGTACTGTTTGCTAGATGACCATGTAAATACATCGGACCAACACAGTTGAATCGTTTCACGGATAAATCACTAATTTTCCGCCTGATTTTTTCAAGATCAAGAGATACACTTGGGATAGACGGATATTTCACTTTGCTCTGCATGCATGCTTAGCTTCAAATCACCCAAGTGGACTGGACTTTGAAGACACAAACGTTTATTTATCAACTCAACTTGAATGTCTTGAATGATGTTGCTCTTGGACTATTCTGCGTTCAGTCTACTGAAATGTGAATCCTTGGAAAACAGGACATAACAACATCCTGAAATTATTTAGATAATCGATTCTATTATCGATTATGTTACATACTTGGTTGGACATTTGGTAATCTGACCCAGTTCCTGGTAAGCTTAGAGTACTCTGAATAAGTCACGTGACATTTGACCTTGGTCAGGTTACTCTGACATTTGCTTCACTCTATCAAGCGTGAATAGGTCAGTGAGACGCACGACGCAACTATAATTAAAGTGAGTATAGGTTGCATCATTTTTATTAGCCTTATTATTTCATCTTTAAGTTTTGACAAAATACAAAAAGAAAAATTGAAACTAAAAAAGTCGGTGACATGGCATCAAAGAGTAATTGAGTTTGCTAACCATCCATCACATTGAATGATGTAAATTGAATATTGGCAATAAACTTCGGGAAATATTGCATTCATAGGATTAGAAAAATGTTAGAACAAGAACAAGATCGACTTATCTAACGAAGCAACTTTCATATCAATATATCAATATCAATACCTCTTATATTGTCATACAGGGTGTTCCAAAAGTAACAGGACTGGTGCTGGTATTTTGTTAAATATGCACCAATCGTCGTGAAAATTTTACATAATGTACTTTCATATATTGTTACTTAAACTGCAAAGTTTCAAAAAATATTATGGAATTTGGGTAAAGTTATGGTTGCTATGGTAACATGACATCACAATACCCGGGGCAACATTCGACGCAGAAAAATACAGACTTTCAGCAGTTTGAACAACCCATATAAAAGTTGAAATGCAACAACTCAACTGGTGAAAACTAGATTTACTTTACATAATTTGATATTCCTATGTATCCTCACTTTGCAAAGTAGGCTCCTCTTTGATCAGTATTAGAGTAGCACTCTGGATCCATGATTCATTCACATAAGTGAACAAATCTGAGGTTATGTCACGTAGGGTCGATTGGACAACTACATGTAGGAGCAGGTCATTTTCATCTTTAAAGGTCTTACCACGCTGATTAGGATTCCATTCTCCATATAATTAAAAATTAGATATTGCATGATCATAAGAGTATGGTGCATGGTTTTAGACATCAACACCTAGCTCCTCTATAGCTGCAGTGTTCTTAAATGCTGACTTGCGGGTAGGCGCGTTATCAAGGTGGATGACTGGCTTCAAATTGCGTTTTCTCAAAACCTCAATCGTTAATTGTGCAAACGGTTATACATAGTGATATTCCAGGAAAGTGAATTAGTAAATAAATATTATTATTGTGAAATCATACTTGAATCTGAGTTGTATAGCGACAAACAAGAAATGTTGTGTTGTAATAGATGAATTAGATACTTTCTTCAGTCATACAAAAATGTTGGATATCACATGTTCATGAAAAAGTTGCCCCAGGTATCGTGATGTCATGTTACTATAGTAACCGTAACGCTAACCACATTTTATATCTTTTTCTGGAACTTCACAATTTTAGTTGTAATACTTCAAAGTACAATTTGTGAACATTTGAAGACACTCCGTATAGATTTGACAAAATGCCAGCACCAGTCCTGTTACTTTTGGAACACCATGTATTGTCCTGTACTACTATACTTTGATTCAAAGTTACTAGTTTCATCACCAAGTGGCTTGTTCGGGTCAGATAGCATGGCGGGTATAATAGAAAGTTCCCCTAACTTAAGTATTAATCTGCTTTAGTTGTTCAATTTTCATATCACCCTTATGTATCTAATAGTTATGCAAATTAAAATATGCCCAGTAAAAGAAAATGTTACCTGCCCAATACAAGAAAAGGTATTTGACTTTTTGTGATTGGAATCTCCCTGAACTTGAAGTCACATTTTCAAAAAAATAAATAAATTCAAAGTTGATAAACAATTTTCGAAACCATATTTCTAGGTGTACTTTTACTTGTAGAGAATTTCGAATATTTAATGACGTAAATCAAGATTATATCTACTCGCATCAAGTCGAAGGGTAGTCTAGTTACAGGCCATTGTGTCCCCACCCAACACAACAAGTCAGTGTGAGAAGGTGTGTGGTCAAAGAGAGAGGGTGGGGGGGGTGTCACAGAGGCTTGTAGCTAGACTAGTCAAAGTCTGAAAATATTTATACTACCTATTTAATAGACGGCAATCTTAACACACTTTAAATGTAAAAAGAGTTATGATCGAATCGGATCACTCAATGTCAAACCAACATATTCGTATCCCATTGAACGCGTGTCAGCTTATTCTTTAGTATATGTTAAAGGAATACATTTACAAAGTGTACGTGAGTAACACGACACCGGAATTTTAATTATTTCTTTTTGACCACTCTTTTGAGTCCTCAAGCAGTAAGGTAAAACATCGATATTGCTTGTTAATCGTAAAACTGATCTATAAGCTACAAATGACATCGAATATCATGAACATTATGATCAAATAATCATCTAAACATGCAAAAATTATGTAATCGTACCAGACCACAAATATGTCATTTAAATTGCTCGCATCCCCCAAGTACAGCCTAAAGTAAGATTCTATTTATATTGTCCTCCCATGGTCTGCTACGTTTGGCTGATCATGTTTTTATTTTTCTGATGTTGCCCAATGTGCGTCTGTGCTTAGTAGAACAATACCATCTTATGGAGGACGGGCTTATATTTTCGCGATCGAGCGTAATATCTTCTTAAATGACCAGGCCCATAATTTTCACTGTCTTTATATGTTAACCAACCATGTTTCTACTAACAAGAATACATTTTGCTATCTATTGTCCTACCCCTGGTGTCCTACCTAAATTTTTTCTTCAAAACAGTTCAGAATATTTCCTGTAAAAATAACCGAGGTTGATGCTCAGCTGTATACTGTATGTTTAAGCAGTAATTTTATTCTTTACATTCATTTATATTATTTTGACACTGCCTTTATATTCAATTGTATTTGTGTAATTATTCTGGGCAATTCTGTTTAAGATTTTAGAAAATAACATCGTAAGCTATAGATATCTATTTGGAACGATGTACGGTCACAATCGAGAGGGGAAATTACGCGTTCATAATAGTAAATGCCTTCGAAAATAACTTAAATAAAATAATCTGTTTAAAAGTGACTTGAAAGGCATTTGACTTCTTAAAATTGTCAGTAAAATTATTTCAATATTAAAACTACTTGAAGAAACCTTTCTTTAATATTGACTCTTATTGGTTAGAGAGTGTTTGCACTTCTTATTAAAATATTTGCATCCATTTAAAATCTAATTCCCCTTTACACATAAACGTGTGGCCATTCTCATGTTATTTTTAAGGATATTTAGTCTCAAAAGTTTAGACTCAATAAATACAAGATTTCACGTAATAAGTTTATCTCCCTAAATCATTTAATTCTAAATTTGCAATATTTCATAGTATTATGTTGTTACGTGATATATGTTATTTCCGCTGAAAAAAAATATAGATCTAGAACTGATAATTGATATAAAAAATTATTGAGGACTTAATATTCAATAAATAGTTGACATGCTTTAAAAGATGTCACTTGTGTAAATAAAAATGAAACCAGATATTTGAACACTTAAAACGAAAACAAAATTAATTATAAATATATTTTCATTAGTTCAGAACTCGCGATCGGGGAATTATATTCTACCTTTCCTAATGACGTAACGCAGATACCCTCTTTTTATACACCATGTTTTTTTTACGCGGAGTCCTTATGTTCTGAGGACCCCAGTTCTGACCTTACACGGACTACGGACCCTCTCGCGGAGACACCCTACTCTCTCACAAATTATCACCACTTCTTTCTTCAATTCCTAAGAAATAAATATACTCGATAGTTAATAAGAGTAGATAATCCGAACAAAGCAGCAGCAGGCACTGGAAGCTGTACGATATTTTTCACGACATTAGCCGCAAAGTGGAATATCTGTCACTCAAAATTAGCGAGAACCTATACGTCATCTCAAGTCGTATTTGATTGGTTGATTGTAATCGGGAGCCAATCATATTTTAATGCGAATAGGATCACCATGTGTAAAGCTGAATAATGTGGAAAACTATTTTGCTTTTAAGATGTGCATTTAAATACACAGACGAATTGAAAGTTTAATACTATATAATTACCACTGGATAATTTGCAGACATTTTACCGTTGAATGATCGAAACATTTGGATCAAAGCATTAAAGGAAGGAACAGTAAACGCTACCGTAACGTCCATATACGCTACGGTGGACAAGTGAAACCCGCCTTGATATTACAGAAGACGCCTTTGAGGGAATATTTTTACGTGAGTAACCCCAAGGTATCAAAGCGTAATAGACATGTACACTTGATTTGACGTTCACTTATTTTCCGGGTCTAAGCCCAATGACCATAGTGTACATTATTAAGGTGATAAATTTGATGAACTTAACTCAATAGGGTTTAGGTAGATGCACTTTTGTAACTTACACATAAAGTTTATCAGGTATTTAAGCATATATATAAATGAATATTTTTGAACTGTGACAAGTATAACCATTGGTATTAACTGCGGGGATTATATCTAACCACATATAGATATAATCTGGTGTGCATTTTAGACGCCAGACAAACTCTTTATTCTCATAATATTATCTTTTAATTTTGTGTTTAAGAAAGGCACTTGCCACTTCGGATTCACAGATATTAAATTTAGTGGGATTGACCAAACCCCAAATGCGAATTATACCTTGCTTTGTAACCTTGTTAAAGTAGGCAGTTTATATCGTAAATATGGCACTTGACGTCCAAAGCCTTTGAAACATTAATGGAATTTAGGGAACCAGGCTTTCAATTGTTGAACACTCTATGGTAATTCCTTTAAAAAGCTATATATATCAGGGCGATATTTTATTGGAAAAATTCGCACATACGCAATGGAAAAGTGGTTTTGACATAACGGCAGCTTAAAAATGGCACATTCACACCGTTGTCTGGCAAGCAATTATATTCGCCTAAATGTTGTCAAATTTTGATTTGTCACACACATGTAGTTATAAAAAAACGAGAAAACGTTATCTGGTAATAAATCGTCACCAATTTGTGACAACTTTCAATGAAATAATCATTAATTATTTTAAAAATTAGTGTGAATACAGGTAAATGGGACATGCTAAGATGAAGCTAAAAATTGCCAGTGTTTTTCGAAAAACACCTTGCAGTCGACTAATGTTTGAAGCTTTGCACAGTGTGACCTGTTTGCAAAAACATTGGTGGTGCAAAAATGGCGGCTAATTTCCCACAAACCTGTGTATCTTTTTACATATATGACCACTTACGTTTCATCACGTTGTTTCGATGACAGGGAAATTAGCTTAACTATCTCCTCAATGACAATCATGTTTGGTTCAAAGTGACATTGAAATATACATGAGAAACACATGAGAAACACATTTTTATAATGTTTACAAGAGTCATGCCAAAGTGAATATATGAATATAAATATAGTAAGGACGATGTCAGTAATGGCACAATTGTTGCAATTTGTGACTAGAATATGATTTTTTTATCAAACAATATCAAGGACAAACCAAACCACTGAATTTCCAAATCTTGAAATATGTGACTTGCTTTTTGATCTTGCCGATCTCTGTAACGTTTCTCATAAATGGATCGGGATGGATTGAAAATATGTGTATTTTGTGTTAATTAGTGCCCATAATGTAAGTTCACATCAAATATGTCAAACGCAACAGTAATTTATATATATATATTCAAACAAATGCAAACCGATTAATGAGACGCCAGTACAAAAAATGCTGCCCATCCTAGCTCAAACAATAGACGGCTTAGTGTACATTATCTTTTAAATTTGTGTTCCATTATCAATTATGCCTACACCCGCCAATAAATCATTGGCATCAACCGGCATGCAATTATGGGAATGTTTAAATGCTGGATTGAACAGATCATCACGAATAAAGGAAATGTTATCTTTTTACCTAACACACCTACATTGTATCTGAGCTTTTCAGGTCTCAGGGAAAAACCAGGCTCAATGGGACGATCAGCATCATTATTTTTGTATCACTAGGGTGTTTTCAAAAGAAAATATGTTGTCTTTCTTAACTGAAAAAGAATGCCTCTGAAATCTTGATTTTCATTCGTAATTACGAAATGCAGTCTTGAAATCGCTATCGTCAATGATGAATTTAAATGTGTGATTTAATTCAATGTCATGAATTCATTATTTGAACTGATGGTAAATATAGATCGAAATCGCATCTCTTACCTAATAAGGAAAGTATTATCATTTAGCGATCGCAAGTGGAAATAATGAATTACAAATTGAAAACTGTGTTTGTTTAAGTTTGTTTAATTGAAGCAAAAAAATGAATTATACAACTTATTTGCATATTTTTCAGGTAAAAATGATTTAATTCAAGACTAAAATTCTATATTTTCTATATTTTTCAGATTTCGCCCTTGTAATTGTGGGGTTTAATTATCACACTGGCCGCGGTGGATTTTGACCAGAGTGAAATTAACAACAACATGCCAACAAAAGGTATTCCTTTTTTAATATTTTTCACTTAGGATAACTATATATCTATTAAACCTTTAGTAGCTATACATAATTTTATACATATCAGGAAAATTCGCTGTTCTTTGGTATTTAGGATATGTTGTCGTTTCCTAATGTTTCCATTTGTGCTTTCAAAGATATAAAATCAAACGCTTTCTTAAATTCATTCCACACAATGGAAGTGGTATAATGTGACAGGCGTTTTAAACGGTAATAAACACATGTAGGTCTTATTATAAAAATCGGTTGAAAGATAGATTCAACTTTTTTCTACTAGTTTCCCGGGGGAATGTCACCTTTCAGGCATTCCTGTTATATCTGTCATCCTTCCATTGTGTCGGTATTTATCACTAACACTTGTGCTAAAAATCTAATAATACAAATTAAAACTGAATGTGATTTTGCATATGAATACATTGTTCGTAAGATAAGAGGTAATCTATAATACTACTGCTCTTGCTTTAAATATGACTAAGGAGATAATATACAGAACTTTACATTGAAGCCATCACTTGAATTAAGCAGAATCAGTTAATTAAATAAAAATAATATCTATGATGGTTATCATCCTAAATGTGTTACCATTAGTGTAAATAGAACCTCTACTTCGCTTTGCTTATCAGTTGAAAATAAAAGTATTTGTAGTATATTGTATTCTACTATTTATAAATGCACTGACTACGGACCCTAACAGATATGTATTTAAAGTATTGGCTGGCAAATGCATCAAGATTTATATATTGTCAATCTCCCATCGCCTCTGCTCTTCCTGAGGTAATAGAAGCAGATGAACGCCCCGATAAAATTGGTGAAATTGCCACCTGTAAATAACAAAATAGAAGGCTTGTGTCCTCAGTGTGACCAAATCTAAAAAATGCCAGAAAATGCATAGTATGAGCATTACCCTTGTAAATGGAGAGAAGAATACCATGATTCGTTTTTATATATACACAAAAATGACTTTAAAATCAAACTCCATGTCATCCTTGCTGCAAGGGTATTTTACAAGTTTATAAGCATAAATGAAGTCCTTTGAAGAAGGATGCTCCATGCACGAGAAGACATATTATGATACTGATGATAGTGTGATAAAAACAATGTTAGAAGCCATTAAATTTAATTGAGAAATTAACATCTCTGTTAATGTTGATCTTTAGCTTGAATTAAGACCCAAATTAATTTCATAGGCTTGCACTAGACAAGACAATTTCAGCAACTGCTCCAGTGTTCAGAAAACTGTGATGTTTAAATATTGCAATGTTCAAAAAATTTTACGTTTAAAACTATTGAGCTGCCTCTAAATTAATGGTCAATTCTACCAGTGTGTCTTTGAATTTGAATTAAGAGAGATGTTGGTTATATATAGAGTAGCACTATGATCACACACATGTACAACTGTAACAATTGTATGCATACTATAGAGAATATAGATAAACAAAGCAGTATGAAACACACATCCCTGGCGTGTTCCGTTTTTCATATGATGGAAGTCGTGATCGTGATAAGTTGATTTTGCTTTACTTGTAGTTGACAATTGTTTGTTTTAACGTAATGAATTGTCAGTTATTGACAGCATAGCATTCCATTTTGATGATGATACTTGATTATTGTTGACAGTATTATAATATGGTAATCTAAATACACTGAGATTTTGACATCACTCTATTTGTTCCTCGAATTTTACCCTTTGTTTTGTAATACAGGCGGGTTTGTTAACTTAGATCACACTCGACTCATTCATTTTCTAACACCTTCTGTATCTTCTCTATATTCCTATCAACATCTGCTGACTTTGCATGTAAAACCCCGACGACTGAAGAATATCTGGGAAATTAATAGACCATTACGACGAATCACTGTATCTAATTGAATAAAGCGCTTCTGATCTTTAGCGAGGATTCTTTGATTGTTTTATAAGAAATATTTCCTAATGATCATGATGTATGGATTCAGAAGTAAGAGAAGTCCCATGATTTGTTATTATTAAGCTGGTTACATAGACGTTTACACTCACTGGCTAGTTTAAGTCACGTGCTTCTGTTAATTATCTGGTCATATTTCCCCCAGTTTAAGAAAAATTTGTCCTCACATTTGTATAAAAAGTAGTGTTTCTGGTATTTAAGCATTGCAATAATGAAGACATTAGGACTACATAACACCCAAGGCTAACCAAAGTATAATTTCCCCGGGCTAACTGACTTCCTTGACTAGGCGAAAGTCGATATACTTAGGAATCTCCATATTTTGCTTTACAATGTCATATTGACAGAAAACAGAAATGATGTATTTTTAATAACTCAGTAATTACCGTTTCCATTAATATTTGAGGAATACCAGAATGTCGATCATGGCTTGGATATTTTTGCCGATGTCACAACTGAACAAAAACATGCATGTCAAAGCAAACATCCTTGCAATTGAGTTCTGGTCGGTCTGTGTAACTGTGTTTAATGGACCCTGTCATCTAGAAAATTGATGGAGTGTGTCGTCCAGGTTGAATGAGAAAACAACAGAAAATAGTTGGGTTTGTCTTTTAATGAGTGCTCTGCTTTCGCAAAGCACAAGCGAATGATTTATATTTAATAATTAGAAGTGAGTCGGAGAGCATTGGTAGTAGGTTAGGTTGGTCCGTATGTTTATCACATACGACTCCCAGAAAACTGTTTCAACAAGGGGCAATACCCATAAAAATGAAATATCGATATTTTGAAACCATACATTCGTCGATATTTACTGTTTCTAGCAGCTGATTGCTGCTTCCATTGTTTTTACGGCCAGCCTCATTTCTTCAAACTCCTTCTATAATTCATTTTCCATTGTATGTCCATCTTAAATATTCTTCCAAGGCTTAATTGAAATTCAAATTTTCCTAAATTTTGAGTAGTCCCACGAGAGGATATCCCATAATACTTGAAAATTACAATGGGAGTTGTTGGTTGCCATGGTGACCGGTTAAGGACGATTTTCGCATCACCTGGCATTGTACAGGTTCAACTTCTGATTATTTTGTCTTTTCTTTTGAAACGCTAAACACATTTGAACAAGTACATCTTCTTTTAATGGCAAACTGCTTTTTTCTCATGCATTCACCCAATGCACATGGTGTTTTGTATCTATTTTGTTTATTTCAATTTATGTATGAGCATCTTATGTATCTACATATGACCCCCGTAGACGTCAATTCAATTTGTTCACAATTTGCGGGACATAAACCTTAGTGCTTAACATGAGTCAGATATCTTGATGATAGTTTTAGCAAATGTAGCTGTCTTTATTATGAAAAAGACACAAAATGCTACTTTAAATGTTTTGTGTGTCATTATATATTATACAGTAAATCTGCATTTATTATTGTGGTCGAGACTTTCACCATGTTGATTTTATAAGGTTAACAAGGAAATCCTTTATCATGTTTAGTAAGGGCTGATACGGGGATTTAGACAGTTAAAAGATGAAATATATCCTTGTTTGTGTTACTGGTGTTTTGTCAAAATTTCGAGCAATTTGTCCGAATGTCACCGGTCGCTATATTCATTTATAACAAATACATTCGCTGTTGTGATTAAACATATTACTAGTAATATAAAGCCCTTTACCTTCCTTCACATCTCCAACTTGTATTTTTAAAGAAATTTGACATGCTACATGATCGTATATGTAGGCCGGATTATATTTGCAGTCCACATTCATTGGGATAAGAGGGGAATAGGATAGGAAATTTCATTCACTTGTCTTGTATTATTTGTCTGTGTTTCAACTTTCATGTTAGCTGATACATAAAGAATGTGTGCAACGCAGAATGTTCTGCATGTATGTTCAATAAAAAACAATCAGCTGATCTATGGACCTCACAAAATGCTTATTTTGATAAAATATTAAATGATATACATTTCATTCTGATATATTGGAACTATCAATGTATATATGGCACTATAGAAGTTAATGTCCCACCGATATTTCTGAACCATTTTGCGATTTATGCGTTTCTGCAATGGCGGATATGTGACACAGTTCCAAAAGGAATGTCGTCTGCTGGAAATGTTCGTCTGCGTCTTCTGCGAGGGAAGCCATAAACATAAGCCAGATATCGTTGAAACAGATGAAACATTTCTTTTTGATTGGGCTGAAATATTACATATCCAAGGTATCGACAGCCATAATGAAGAGGGCTTAACAGTACTAGGAAATTATGATCTGGAAACAAGACCTTTCAACGCAAAATCTAACTCATGTTAACAATTAGATGTTTCTCAAAAACAATACTTAATCGCAAATCGCAAAGAATGTTGCAAAAATAAAGGAACGAATTACAATAAAATTATTCGATTCTAGTCGTATTTGAAAATGAGTAAATAGTCATTATCTTGGAATCTAGAGATAGGGATGGGTATTGTATTAATGGGAGATGTAACTTTGTAGCTTCCAGAATCAGGATGTAAGGTTTCAAATACAGTTGCGAGGCAGCCATCTGTCCCGGGTGCTATTTCTGTAGGCTCACCAGATCCTCTCTGGCTAGCAACCCCCAAAAACATCGCTTTTTACTTTTTCGCCCCAACACTTACACGTTTATCATTTTTTTCCTCTGTGAAAATATAGAAACCAATACATGGTATGAAACTTCTGTATGTGATATCGATTGTGGGCCGCATGCATGTGGATACTGGCTAGCCTGATTTGATTTATACTTCATAACCATCTCGTCAAAATAAAACAATCTTTCTCCATATTTTGTGAGAGTTTTAGGGTTTGCGGCTCAGTCTGCAACAGCTCGTATATCAAACACTTTACCATGCTGAGTACCAAATTGAGCAGTTAAACGTTTTCCCAATTAGAAGTCACTCAAAACTCCAGCTTGAATTACATTCGGAAAGCAAAAGATACAAAATGTTTGATTCCCAACTAATTCTAATGGTGTTGAATTATGTTTGGGGTCGAGAGGAGGGACTCTGATTCGTAGCTACTTAACTTATCATCACCTAAGTGGTCCTTACAGCACATTTAGATTAAGGTCCATATTCCCCGTGGTGCCGCCCCATAAATTATTAAAAGACAAAAGAATATGTTAAATGTGATTAAATCATATTGATGAATCTGTGCTTGTATGAGTTTATCATGGAATTCATAATTTGTTTTTAAACCGTGTCAGAATCAAAGTGTCTGACAAGAGTTTTCATCGCCTAAAGTGGTTTGAACACGAAACCATCATTCGCAGTAGAGGCATAACATGTGTATCTGTGGTTACCCAGTGAAAACATTGACAATTATTGAGTAAAATAAACCGAATGTAACAATTTTCAACTAAATAAACAAACTCTTAAATTAAGCTGACTCTCTGTCGCCGTGGTATGACAAAAATCCCCCTAACTTGTAGCAAGCTGCATGTCTCAACAACCTGTGACCGAATTTCCCAAATTATTTGTTTTTTGTGTTACCTAGACTTTGACTTGAATTTATAACCACTGATTTGACTTGATCAATCCTACAATGAAGCAACTGACATAACCAAAACATTATTAAAAAACATCTAAGATTTCGTCCAGATCGATTCCTACTTACGATACATAATTTTGAGGTCTAACAACAACAAAGGAAAAAAGATGTCTAGCAATGCCACATAAATTTTATAGTTCAACTTATATTCATTCCTAACATTATATCACACAAGCTATTGAACATTGTATGCCTTATAGGAGAGACATTTGTTTATCTAATATTTAATATTTTTATGGCTGACAATAGGAGATTATATGATGGAAAATTAGGAAAGCAACATTACGAAAAAGTTCTCAAAAGCTTTAATTATTGATTACTCATAAAGAGAAGGAAACAGGTGAAATAAACGTAGAATGCAAAAACAAGATAGACAAGGAGCATTTAAAATACCAACGGTCATGATGAAACAAGTCCCCACCAACCGCAAAAAGGATCTAACGTACAAGTATAACTCCCCCACTGTCCATCTTGATCCATTAAGACGTACTCTGTTTTAACAATATGCCCATCGCCATTTTTGCTAAGTTACTCTTTTAATTTCAGAAGACACTTCTAACAATATGCCCATCGCCATTTTTGTTAAATTAGTCTTTTAATTTCAGAAGAACCCAGTGTCTTTGAATCACTGGATCACGCGTCAATGGAAGGCAGCCACAATAGTATCGACCATGACGAAGCCTCGCATCTAGATGACTCGCTAGATGCAAAAAAAGTTAGACCCAAAAGAGGTGAGGATGCTTATGGTGAGAGGCCTATTTTAAAATCGCATTTTCTAAGAGTCACCCAGTTTATGTTTTTAATGTTCCCTCAATTCCTGAGTACCCCTCCTGCTTAGTTTTTATAGCATATTAGAATTTAATGATCTGAATTGGATAAAGGTGACATATTTATACATTATTATGGTGATTATCATTGGCAGTGGCCCATTTTGGTTTAGTGTTTGGACATTTAAGAATGCTATTGTTTAAATATGGAATTTAGGTAAGTGTAGGTCAAAATTACTGAAATGGGTAAAGTCAAAATTGACAGTTTTAATACCACAGTGAGGGTAAGTGCCTCATACAGAAAGGTGTTGTACGTAATACAGCTTTTAAACACCCTTTAGACTTTGGACAAGTCCCTGTTCTTTCACAATAGGATTTGTCAATCTCTAGTTAAAGGCTGTCTGTAGACACCAAGTGCTTATTAGACTAGTTACGCTGACCTAAAATTCCAAAATGGTCACGTCCCGGAAGGGAAAGCATTGAAACAGGATATTTTCAAATACAAAATTACACCACAAATTCTTTTCTTTTTCCAAGATCCCTATCTTTAATATTCACTGAAAAATATTCTTTTCTTTAAATGTTCTGCTTGATTATAATAACTTTTTGATCGCATTATATGTAAGGGAAGACGACAACTTATGGTTAGTTACACAACCACGTGAAGCTTTATATTTTTTAGTCCTACATTTAGTTAAATTGAATATTGATAAGATTTGGTGGCGAACAATGCTTTAGCCTATAAACGCCATAGTGTGGAAAGCAGGGATCAATTTAATGCAAAATTTAACAAATCTCCAGTAAAGTATCATTCCGAATGATCTAATAATAAACTATGTTACAGTAGGTACTTGAATGAAGTAGTTGCAAAATATCCATTAAGAATAAACATTTCTTGAGAGGAGTTAGAAAAAAGTCTCACGTTGATTTTTTGCAAAATTGTTACAAAATTCAAAAGTATGTTTTTGAGTTCTAAATCGATGTGGTATTTGGTGCTAAGTAACAGTAATGCCATTGTTTAACTAGGGACTTTCCTTGTTAGGGGTCTTGCGGGTTATCCTCTTAGCCCCCTGTGGCATAGGAATTCTGATTGACTTCTACAAGACTTGGTTGACCATCGGTTGAGATTTCTGCAAAGCCTTTGACTCTTTTTCCAGTTGATCACTTTTCCGCCCAAGGTTAACCTGTTCTACATGTAATTTTCAAGTTAAATGAACATCTCGAGTTAATTACAAAATAATGCATAGATTATGATGTATAGTGTTTATTCAACATGTTTTACAACAACGTAACACGTATTATTCACTTGGTTCATGCTGGATGCGATTAGGTGGTCAACACCTCTTGAGTTAAATGTAATGAAATGATCTGTTTACAAGATTTGAAACTTATGGATTCATTCAATCATGAAGAGGAAATTCATATCAACCCTCTCCTGTCAACAATTAATCATTTTCCAGAAGTGTATTTTGGGATGATATTTTTGTAGGCGTATTATATTCTCCGGGGTGTGTCCATCCTATGCACTATCCTTGATATTGCCCCGTTTATGCATTATGCTTGTCTACAGTAGATCATAATGAGACACTAGTGCAAGCCACAATATACAAATAAATGACATGGAAAGTTAATTGATTCACTAAAAGTAGCAAACACTTATTACATAATATCATAATACTAATACCCATCCCTCATCTCCTCGTTAACCGATTTCTCAAGTTATCAATGAACATCTTTTGATCATGAGCACATTATCACATTTTAGATTCCCAATTATTATCTTATTTAGAGATTTGGGATGTAATTTGTCCATCTCCGATATTTTCACCATTGTAATCCGTGAATAGATCAATACGCGGTACTTTTGATGTAGAGCATGAGAGAGTCGACATGATTGTATGGCTGTGTTACATCCATTGGATAATGAATTAATTGATTTATAGTAATTAAGGGCTCATTAATTTTATGGAGTATATAGTGCATACTTAATTTTACATTCATTTGAGAATATGGATATGCTTAAGTATCATATATGAAATTGATAACAACATACAATCAAGAATGATAACAATGAAATCTTATTTCTGATCATAAACATTGTTGTTGATATCTGGTATTGATATAATGGACACATGGGATGAACATTTGGTACGATTTTAAAAAGTATAACTAATTTGGAAAAGGCCTTGAAGGGTATTTTTAGTGAGCTTTAGGTTTGAAAGATTGATCACTTCAAAGCCTTGTCAACTCGATGTTTGGATGAAGTTTATTGGCTGATTGGACTAAGCCTGGCCCAAATACTTTTTAATCTAGCTAAACCTTAGTTACACAAAAGCCATTCTAAATAACTCCTAGCCAAAGTGGAGACAGTCGAATATTTTTCTTCCAAATTATATCCCAACTTTTCAATGGTGTTCCTCTTTATACAAACATTAATCCACCATCTCCAGACAGATTTTATTCTGGTTGTTTTCCTTCCAAATCGGTTGCGATACTCTCAAAACAAATACAAAGTTGAGATTAATAATACTGCTATTGCAAAGAATGACAATGATACGGTGCAATTTTTGCCACCAGAAAGCAAAACAAAAAGAGGCTGAATCTGGAGGGTGCGGGAAGTCTAATTGATCTCATTACGCGTGGCCAGTTTTGTTCCTAAAGTCTTATTCCAAGAGTTCTTGTTGCAGACCGGGTATGGAAAAGCCACCCTAGATGTGAAGTTATAAAAAGTCACTTTTAAACTCCAAAACGCATTAGCTTGGAAGTAATGAAGTAACAGTCAAATCATTGATATCAACTGGCGGTAGACCAAGGTTTAAAACCTTATTGCTGGATAAATCTCAATTGTGTCATCATTTGCCATCATTCCCCGTTTTCCTGTTACATTATCTCAGCGTGGGTATCCCGGTATCAGCATGGTCCAAACGCTTGATTTCGTTTTCAAACGTGTAATCCGTTATCTGGATATTTGACTTCCCACAGCTTGACCAAGGTCAAGTTAAAGGCCAGGGTCGGGTATAAAAGGCCAGTGGCAGTTAGGAATTACATCATATGATGATTTGATAATTTTAAAAATCAGAGCTCCAGAGGATTTACTTTGTTTTTTCCTCATAACTTGAAAACTACTGAACAGTTCTTGCTACATTTTGTCACACTTTTGCATGAACATATGTCAATTTAATATCTTGCTTTATTTGATTCAAAATATCACTAGATTTTGTGTAATTAAGTATTTTTATTTGAAAGTGTACTGGTTTTAGGGGAGGAGTTATAAGACAGGGATTTAAATATCTGACCAATGAGAATGCTATAAATTTGTCATGTGATATTTGCAAACACAAGCACATTGTATCATTCTAACAAATCAGCTATTTGCAAAACATAAAATCTTTTAAAAATCAAAGAAAAACTTACCACTCGATTTGTATTTTTCACATTATATATCCCCAGTAAGTATAGCTGTATACAGGTTGGTACAGGTGTTTACTTTCACTTGTTTAAATTTTATCTATAAATTCAATGTCATAGACGAATTTGGGTGAACTGATTGTAAAATTATTATGAAACGATCACATTTAGTACTTTATCCCAGATTAATTCCATGTAATTAAATATTTTAAGTTTCAAATCATTTTTTGTAATTTCCTGCGAGGAGCAACATCTTTAGTCTGAACACTGGTAAATCCCTTTCTACATTTTCATTCCAGTATATTCTGGTAAGATCTGTCATCTTATATTGCATAATCATTTCCAAACTAAATTCTCTTTTCATATTCAGAACATTTTGTAACTTTCTTCATAAAAGTGACAAGTGCACCAGTGTAATTTTTTCTTTGATTGTCTGTACACTATTGTTTTCCTAATTGATTTTGTTCACTTCCAAGTTTACTTGCCATTTCTTTTTCTGGTTAGTCTTTGGTTCTGTTCAAGTTAGCTTCATATACATGTATAGGTCAGTGAAACTGAGGAAATTAATTCAAATAGTACTTGATTTATCTTGACACCCAGAGTGTGAGGGGAGGGGGCATTTGATTTCTATCTAGTAAGATATACATAAATACATAGGATATACATCAGATAGTGAGGAATGATAGCTAAAGGGTTCTTCCCTAAGTTATATTTGGCCTATCTCTAACAGACCAAAGGAAATCATGCTGCAACATTGAAGTGAGTTACAATCAAAATCTCATTTTCAAAGTTCAATGTTCACATGATGAATAGTAATTGACAAGATCAAGTGAAATCCTAGATTAAAATTTGGAATCACTCTGTGGATCTCATCAGATCCAAGAATAATGTGTCCCTTGAGATGTGTCAGAGATGTCAATTTCAAAGATTTCTAGTCTGCATAGAAGGGACCATATCTGCATTTCAAAATTTTATTCTCTACATTATTTTAAATTCCCCCAAAAATATTTCACACACTAATTTTGATGTTTCCCCCAATAAGACAGTGAAAGATTTAATCCTCTAGATACATGTGCTTGTGTTTGTAAACATTCTGGCATAATTCTTGCCATATATGGTAAGATGATCTTTCACATGATTGGCTAGTCATTAATGGCTATTAATGAGGTGGGCTGAACTCAACCATATGGCAGGGAAACCTGGCCTTTAAGTATCTCCTGTATGTTACAAAAATGGAGAACGTGAAATGAAGAAATGTGAGTCTACTTCTACATGAAGACTAATCCATGAAAAGTAACCGAAACTAGTCTGCTTTTACCGGAAGTTCATGCCCAAAGGCGGGAAGGAGACTGGCGAAGATTCTCAGCACACAAGATGCGCTCCCGACAAATTGCTTTGACAGGAGCCCCAATTTACTCGAGAGCACCTAGCTATTTTCCTTCGTTTGATCCTCACGATGTGTAGCTCAAGATTCGTTCAGATGTAATCAAGCTTGTAAAATAGTAAATTTAGATAATGGCCAAAATGGCGGGGGTCTTCTATCTCTCTGCCTAACTGAGATGTTTTTGAGTGAGATATAATGTCCACCACCGATCTCCAAATACAGGCGATCTGTAAACCTCCGGGCGATAATAAGATAAAATAAAAATTCAATGAATGTGAAGAGATGTTGCTGATAATATTGTAAAGGAAGAAGCATCACCATATAATTAACCCCTAGGGATTGTCCTTTCGTTTAAATTTAGCGCATTTCGGTTGAAAATATTAATGTTGACATGGTTTTGAATAAAGACATCATTGATGGGTTATGACGAGGACCATTAGGTATCAAGTAAAGAGGAAAGTTCTCACAAACCCTGAGCGCCAAAGCGAAAAATGCGCCATCATTTTGATAGTGCACATGCGCAGGCGCTTGAAAGAACGTCAGCGACCTGTGAAACAGTTTGAAGCGCACACAAAACATAACTCAATGATCCTGCTGTTTCAACAGAGAGCGATGGTCCTAAATTACAGACCACGGGACTTGAAAACCCGTTTCTTTTGTTCATCATCTATGCCCCCTGCGTGAATAACTACCAGTGTTATACATTGATATCATGACTAAGCTGAAAACTCGCTAGTGGTGAAAATTTAACTTTGGAAAGTGATCCCAAAGATTCAATTAGCCTGAAATGTTACCTCCTTTTCCAATGTGGCCCGTGTTTTACCCCAAAGTTAAAATCACTCTACTTGAAACAAAAATTATAATTCTGCATCGCTTCATCAGTCTAAATATTGGCCAAATTTGACATCAGATCTTCAGTGAACACGAAATGAGCAAGAGGCTTTTTAAGGGGATTAATCATTAAGAATGTCAACAAATGGAGTCAAGATCATCTTAACAGGTAATACATACGGACGGCTGTTGCCTGATTAAGTAGATACTTTTTACAGCATGCTATCTTAGTCCATAAGAGTAACAGAGACATAGATATCATGATATTATAACTGCTGACTGAAGTTAGTTAAAACAGTTTACGTTTCGCCGAGCTGTAAAACATCAAAAATTCAAAAATAACTGAAAAAAGGAACCTATTGATTGGTTCTGGCATTTTCAGCTCTTATCGCAAAGTTTTACCTCTTTTTTGAAGAGGATTTCAGTCTGGTTCTTTATAATGAAGTGTTTGGTAATGCATGTTTGCTTTCAAGCGGTGTTCATGTTGCATAGACGTTTACCGTTCCGTTCAAGTTGATTGGAACTCTGATTAATTGGAGTTAAAAAATGGATGTGTCAAATTTGAAAGTGTTTATGTCACAAGTCGTGTGCATTTGTTTACAATTCCTAGGATATTCTTCAATATTGACAAAATAGAAGTCATCGCTTGTTTATTGACGTTTAAAGCACACGAATGCAAGCATAAAATAATAGACTTTAACTAATGATCAAAATGCGTTAAATTGTTGCCAAGTGTTTAATCAGTGGTTGAAATTAAACAGCAAAGTGTAAACTATAATGGACTGTTGTGTCGGACGTGTGTTCAAGTCAACCGGTTGTCTGGTTTGTAGAAAACTAATAAATAACAGAACATCCAGATGGAACGCGCTATTCGTGAGCGTTGTTTCTGGTTTCATGCGCGTTGCTAAGTGTTCCGCACAAACCGTACGTTATCGCGAGCATAAATATAGTCCGAATTCGTGTCATTCCAAACTGAACTCCCTAAATTGACTTTTTCGGGGAGATGGCCCTCAAAGGCAATTAAACACCTTTGATTTGATTTAATCTAGCCCGAAAATTACAACCATTGTATTCTTTAATTCATAACTTATTTCTTGACATTTAGCTGTTTTATTGTTATGTCAAAGCACGCGCCATGAAAAACAATAAATTTTTGATTAAGATCTAATTTACAATTAATAAATTAAAATCCTTAGGTGCGTGAATCATGGACAACCAACTGTTACATTGTACCCGCATCTCAAAGACGATCAGATGTTGGTTTCAAGGCAGACAACATTTGTGAAAAGAATTCGACATTTCGGGAAATTGCCATAAAAAGTTAAATGAAAGTTATAACTGTACATTTGGGAAGTGGTAGATGGAATGCTTTGTCAGTTTGATATAAATCAACAAATCAACAATGCCTTTGGTTTTATTTTCACGACGACTTATATGAACCAATATCAATATCATTGATTGGAATGGAGCACTCCCAATAAATAAAAACAATATCTCAGCTTGGGAAGCTCGTATGTCAAGTCATACTATCAGATTACTCCAGTGTATTTATTGATTTCGAAAGGGACAATATAAAACAAAAGCAAGTGGCAGGTTTCAACTTGGAATGACAAGAGCAAAGAATCACGTCCCATAACAGATACCGGTATTATTGGAATAAATTGAAAAGAACCCAGCAGATAAATAGAGAGAAACTGCTACCATTGAAATAGTTAGAGAATTCATCCTGGTGTGCGATTGAAAGTACGCTGGTCTAAGACTCCGGATTGGTCCATCCTAGTATAAGAACGTGGTATTAAGAAACACACGCATAGAAGTTTTGAATAAGACGCTTTAGAACCCCTTTCAATACATTAACCAACCACAGACTTTATTTCCGCGCCATTTTGAATTTATTAAAAGAGGTATTAGACTGTAGTTTATTCAGTAACGTAGATATTGATAGTATCTGAGTCAGTGAAGCAGATTTTATCATGGGAACGGATGCGATTCAGCAAGGGGGAGTAAAATTAGAAGGATCCTACGCACAAGGGTCGATCCCCACGGACAGTCCACAGGGACCGATCATGTCAAACACAGAGGAGGGTAGTCGTGCAGAGGAAATTAAACGCAAAGCGAGGGGTAACGTAACTGATTAACTTTAATTAAACAAAGTTTTAAACTCTGATATCGACCGCTTGCGATCTTCACATCAAGTGCGTGTTCTGTTAGTGTTTGACTAGCTTTATTATAGAGATTGACACACCACTCAGATTTTATATATATATTATACAGACCTTATGAATCATCGGAAGACGTCTCGATGTTCCATCGCTATACCATACCGTCTCTATATCGTACTATTTTATTTCCCTAAATCCAATTCCAAGTGAATCAGGGAGAACTTATCAAATTATTCTCAGTAATTTATCCATTGTGCCACTCAGCCCTAGTAACCTATTATGATATATAATACATATAGTCCAAATATTAGGTGCAGGAAATCTACGAAAATAAATATACATAATTATTGTTTTAACTTTAATTTGAAACAAAATACAAAAGATATTTCACTAAATACTAATTCTAAATGGTGTCTAGCAAATAACCAGAAGTGAGATTACAACATTTGGTTGAACAGAAGGTGTTAAATTTGGACTGCTCAATAACATTTCAAATGTTTTAAGAACCATTGGTCTGAAATGGAAATTGAATTTATCATATAATCATCCCCTAATAATTACCGAGTCAATGCCTTGATATATTGTCCGCAATAAAGTCATATCAACATTGGCTTCTTTACGAACAAATCATCATCGCCTCCGTACACTCGATTTCTCCCGAATATAAACATCTCTCTTATCTCGGCATAATTTTAACCAGACTACTGAAATATTAATGTTTTTCATATATCGGTGTCCCTAAATGTTAGCTCCCCTTTACATTATGGGTGTAGGAGGGCAGAAAATCTTGTCGGCTCGATTATAAAGCAGAAATGTGCTGAACAAGTCAAGTGAACACATCCATACGCGTAGGGATTTGAGTCTCACACATGGTGGATTCTTACGCCATTTCAAATCATGAATAGGTTCTTCCACTACTCTGAGTCCTATATTTTTTCCGCTATCCTAATTCTTTGTACACCAATGCTTTATTTTGTGTCTGGTCTCCCAGATTACAAAGTCGGAATTTTATACTTTAGCTAAACTTATTCATTAGTTACTAAAACTGAGTAAAACGCAGTTGGGTTTTTGGATTTGAGTACTAGTTGTAAATTATTTGGATAATAGCTGACATAGTGAGTACCGACTAACATGTAGAAAACGTAAAAAAAAGTTTGTTCACATATAATACTTGTGCACATGAAGGTCAATCATTTCATCCACATTTATATTTGATGTATTTCTAGGACACAGTGGAGTAAACCAACTTGGAGGAGTATTCGTAAACGGTCGGCCACTTCCGGACAGCACTCGGCAAAGGATCGTTGAATTAGCGCACTCTGGTGCACGCCCCTGTGATATTTCAAGGATTTTACAAGTGTCAAATGGATGTGTCTCAAAAATCCTTGGAAGATATTATGAAACTGGTTCCATCCGTCCCCGAGCGATAGGGGGCTCGAAACCTCGTGTAGCCACAAATGAAGTTTGCGCAAAAGTTGCCCAATACAAGCGGGAATGTCCATCAATTTTTGCCTGGGAGATTCGGGATCGATTACTATCCGATAACGTCTGCAATCAAGATAATATACCCTCAGTAAGTAGCTGTTTTTCAGTTTTTATATTGAAAAATCCCAGTATGGTGAATTGAATTACCGCAATGTTACCATTAACTGCACTTTGACAGTGCCAATCCCAGCTGGCCATGAAAGATGCGCACTAAAATTTAGCACTACAGCTAAGACTAACTAAACACATGTGAACTATTCATGAAAAGGGTTTTTCTTATTTATACCATCAATAATTCAGGACTTATCACTTTAAATTACTAAAAATGGTTAATTAATTGATCCAAACACGTGACATTAATATTCCGATATTTTTGATCACAGAGTTTATGATAAAATTGTTTACTCTCGTTTGAACCTGTGCTAAGATATAAACATGTATAAAAGTGATAAACTTGGAGCTGAAGAAAACTAGACGCTTTATTTTTCAAATGGTACTTGGCATGAGATGAAATATAGCAGTGTTTTCTTTAGTGTCTGCTTTTAAATACTCGTTGAATGAAGGCCTGTCAATTAAAGCAAGCGTTATTGCATAAAATTCGGAAAATACTTCTTAAAATGCACCTCCTTGGGGTGTGTTACATTAAAAGCGTCTCACTAATGTACTTTCTCTCGCCCAGGGAATCCGCAATTGGATGGCGAATTGTTGAGGAAGATATTGTGAACCTACAATTAGACATAATGGTTTTATTTTAAATCGAGAAATGCACAGTTAGTTTAAATCGTGTTAGAGATATTCTGAAAGATTCTCCCACCTGCGATGGTTCGGTATATTGTTTCCTAATTGATCGCTAAAACTTGGAATTATCACTAAAAAGAAAGTCGCACTCTGTCACAATAAGGCAAATATTTAATGATTTGCAGCCTCAATTTACTAGTTTATTTCCAAATTGGTCTATTGTATTTCGTTGTGGGTATCCTTGTTAGAAAGCAATGGAATAATACCATAGAACACTCACGAGTCCTTATGGGAGAAATTAGTTTATATTCCTGTGCAGTTTTGTTGATTAAATCAACTCCTCATCATTCTGTAGATGACAAAATACAGAGGCATTTGTCAATCGGAGCGCCATCGACGTATTCTCAAATTGACCTCCTTTTCTCACTTTTCTAAGATTTTTTTCAATTTTGATCTAATTTTATTAGGTGATAATCTTACATCGTCTTAATATTAAAAATCTGATCAGATTTATCGGAGTCTTTCAAAGAAAATGTATTAAATTGATATCATGGGTAGCGTATTATGATTAAGTGTCTTATAGTCAATAAAGAACCTAGACGACTCATCACTTTTATTCTCACAGATCAAATTATCCTTGCTCGAAGAATAGCGTGTTATATTTCTTTAGAACAAAAGTATCACATCAAATATGATTTTACATCAATATCAGGAACAATTATCTCAAAAATGTGTTTTTCTATTTTATTGATATTCTACGGAGATATTCAATTTCTATTCTTTTTGGAATATAGTTCTCTCGCTTACAAGGGAATGTGGTACAAAATGGTGTCAAGGTTCTACAGGAACACGGGGAACTTGAAGAGTTCTTAATTCATACGGGTCACTTCTTAACTAAGTAGAGAAAGGTTGATTTGGACTTGAGAGACAATTCAACCGGCAGACTATCTGAATGTTACTGCTGAAATCTGATAATATACATCCACACAACTAATAGAAACAAAACATGATAATACCTAAAAACTATAAATAAATTCCAGAATTATTAATTTCCAACTGCAGATATTATACTTTATCCGCTTAAAAGTGGCCTCGACTCCAAAGAAGATGTTTCCCAATGTATAATCTTAATTAAAAGTTTTTCAATTTTTACGATCGTGTCAAAAGCTCTTTAAATCTCTTCTATAAGCTACTAGAGACTGCGAGAAAATCAACCACGCAAGTAAATTTTTCCTCTTGAATGGGCGATAATATAATGAACTTCTTCAGGTACATTGTTACCTCAGCTCGTGTTCTTAATTAGATAACGAAATCCACTTAAAACTATTCCCGACCAGTGTTTCCTCTGGTTTTTGTTCGAACTCTATTTTTCATTTGGATCTAAAAAGAACGTTGTTTTGACTGTCAGCATTTCACATCATTACCGTGTGTAGTATTGTGGGAGATCTCGAAATAAGTACGTTGAACACCAATCATTTCTAATTAATAATGCATACCGCGGAGTGAATGCAGTAAAAGATATTTGTGAAAAATCAAAATCAAGCTAATTCCAAGATCGTCTTAATTAATAGTTCTGTTAACATTGCATTGACTAATCGAGTTGAATCTCCTTTATCAATCAAATTATTATCCAGTTTTTCAATTAACCATCGGATTCTAGCTTTATTTACTCCCCTGCTACTTTTAATCATATTAAAACATCCGGAACAATAGAAAAACACAGATTAACGTGTTACTTTTCTTAGATTTCGTGATTTTACCGCATAGGTTATTACGGATCTTCTTTATGGTATCTGAAGGAGGTCGGAGGTCGGAAGGTTTTATCTCAGAAATAAAGGCGTCATAACAGGTTCCTCCTGGCAGCAAAACAATGGTCCACAAAAGATACAAAAGGACCAACTCGCTGCTTTGTTTCATTGTTAACTGGTTCTTAACGAATCTCATTTATCCAGGATGTGTTTTCTTAACCCTGGGACTCTGAGACTTGTTGTTGAGTCGTTGCTGTTAGACTGGGTTACTAAGATTCAATAAAGTTGTATCTTTATTTGCATATTCAATAATCTTGAGCCGATCTTTTGTGGTAACTAATCATAGGTCTTAGCCCCACTGTTATACAAATTGGTCTAACATATGGTCACCAGTTGAAATATCCAACTCTATGTCGTCTGCATATTAACCCAAAATGAAAAAATGTGAGATATTGTCTATTTCTGACCTTTTACTCTATCCGTTTATGAATCAAACTGAAATACTTTCTACAAATAATCACTTGTTAGAAAGTTAGTAAATGGATTTGATTGCATTGTTCAGTGTATTTGCCAACCAAGTCTGAGACGGTCTAAGCGTGTGCTTTTATTTGCACACTACTAGAATTTAAAGAGATTTGTGTTGTAGTTGCTTGTTACAAATCCCTGTGCAAACATATTTAAAGTAAAAGTCAATTTGAGTAAAGCGGAGGAACATGACTTCTGAAAGAGATATGGAGTGCAGTTGTGAAAATGTTGACGTCCGTAAATCTAATGTGAAACGTACACATTCGGACACTTCACTACTTTAGTACTCCGCGGTTCCAAAAACAACATGGCGACCGAAAATGTCTAGCAATGTTGATATACCATTTAGCCGTCATTTAAAATTGAATGAAGAGAATGATTTGATTGAATTTTTTAGATGTTATCCTGTAGTTTATCTCGAGTGCATCTCAACCTTTGCAATGTGGTGGAAAATTGCACATTAGTGCGATATTAGTACCTAGTGGTCACAGACGACGAGCTTTGAGATTTATGGGGAATTTTATGGCTGTCTTACCATCTTTTCAACCAATTTGGCTCTATGGTTTGAAGCAATGTAAAGGTGTTGATGGTAAAATATTGAAAACATTAAACGCTCATGAGTTTAAAAGAAAGGAATAATCATTGTAAGTGGCTATTGGGTGCTGTAGTAAAGTACCCTTGGGTTATTCAAAATGAGACCTTTCCACTTGTTAAATTACAGACTATACCACGAGGGCCATCAAAGAACGCTTGCCGTTATACCTCAAGTTTGAGCTATCAATGTGATTCGCTATATCACCGACGCATTACGTTGCCTGGTGTTTCCCAATCATTTCTGGAATTAGTTTTGAATACATCTGAACAAGGTGGCAAATATTCCACTAAAATCAAATCTAGGATTCCAGTTTCACTTGATTTGACAGGAAATTGGTCTATACAGTGAAATAACACGTCTTTGAAACGCAAGGCTCTATCATCCATGATCAGATTAATGCTTAGACGTAATGAAGCAGGCAGAAAATGGCCAATTGATACATTGGGGTGTCTTGCAGTTATACCATGGCACAAAACAGTTCTTTTTATTTCATATGATCCAGTTTGTGAACTTTTGTGTTGTATTCTTTATGTGATCAGGGTTACATGTTCATGCTAGGATTTTGGCATTTTTGGGTGACAAATAAAGAGATGACTGGATTGCCAAACTTGTATAAATTGCGCAAGGGCTGTTTGCAACAAGAGGCAATTTCTAAGCTTCCTACGTATAGATAGATGCATTGAGTCTAACTGGCCTATTGCTCTGTAGTTTGCTAATGTATGCACATCTGAAACAGAAATAATGTCATCGGGTCAATTCAGCATCGAGTCAATTCAAATGAGAAGCACACAGATCTATACTGTACTACTATTTGATTAACAGTTGTCTATAATTATTAAATAATGGACATTGTTTGCTTCCTTAAATTGCATGTGTTTGCTAACTTCCATGCAAATGAAAAAATACCATCTAAATATGTCAACCAGCACGTGTTCACTGCATTCACTTCTTAACTGCATGAAACAAACTTCCACATATCACCCATAAACAAACTGACGCATTGAACATGACAATACCTTGTATTTTTGTAAGACAGAATGATGAGTAACCCTACCTTGAGCTCCAGACACTGAACTCAACAGATACGTACGTGTGTCCCCATGGACGATCTACAATTATTTAATTTCGAGGCTTTATGTCCGTGTAATTAAATATTTGGTTAATACACATGAGATGAGTGGTTTATGTAACTAACGGAAACTATGCATAATCTTCCTAACTGCAAAACAGTATAAAAAATGTGAAAACTGCTCCGGCACACGTTCACCAGTGACACTTTTCTACAATAGATTGAAGAGATCATATGCATGTCAAAAGAAATTGAAATTCAAACTGCCAATCATGCCCCATTCTTTCAACATATTGTGTTGTTCTGCATTTGTAATTACATGTTGAGTATTTTTCAATGGGAATCGAATGTACAGTGACTAAATCAATTTTGCTTCTTAGAAAAATTTCCACATCTCTTTATCTACGCATCTTATTATTGAAATGTGTTCCAAATATACAACAAAGCAAGATGCAACCATATACGTCAAATTGGCCATAATAAAACCACAAACATAGATTTTAAAATATTAGCAACAGAATGTCAGTGGATAAAGTAACCTGCGCGCAGAGTCGAGTTATAAACTGAAGACGAAACTCTCTTTTTAGAAGTGAAGTCGAATGAATGCAAAAGATACATTTAAAGTATTTACAACACTACACTAGCTGTAGCAATTGTAGTAAATGCTTCACACTAGAAACAAGCATCTCATCGCTTATCACATCCAATTAAATGCTCATTAAACTGATTATGAAATTAAAAATCTGATTTAATGATGAAGAGGATATAATAACACAATAAATATTGAGCTTTCATACAGGTCCATAGCTATCAACGTTTTTCTTTGTATTTCGTTTCGTTATCTTGTACAAGTGATTTGGCAATCTGACCCTCCTATATCACTATATCATCCTCAATCAAACGGTCTGGTGGAAGAAATCACTGTATTAAAGCCCAAGTCAGGAAGCTTAGGCAATTCATTACCAATTCCAATGAGTATTTTCTGATTTTATAATTTAATAATACTGACTAGTATGGTATTAAAACACTGGTATAGCGATATTAAATTTTGACGCTCTGTGAATTCCATGGATTGTAGTTGTGTTGTCTAGGTGGTTGATGAAGGGGAGGTTATAGCACGTTGATCTACCCTAGTTATCCCCCGAGATCAGCTTTAATCAATCAGAACCGAAGCAACATAATTCACCACTTGATTCTATCAGATTTATACATATATCATCTCTGTGACACATTTGTTCTGAGAGAACTTGTGATGAGATGGTTCAGTTTCAATAAGCCATTCTGCTCACAGATCATCAATACCATCAGATTTAAAGGACACAATATATTCAGCCATCTGAAAAACTCAAACAAGTGATATAAATCTCTGATAAAAGTTCTTGTTTTTTTATTTGCATCATATGAAAAAATCCCGCTGTGAGCTTTTGTTGATGATGTCATGTCCAGACTCTGGACTTGACCAAGGCTTAGTCATTGAGTGACCCTGGAGCCAAAGTAATGAGCAGATACTGGGTATGCTAATATGTAAGACAAGCAGAGATTTAATGGATCTTAACCCCCGAGGCCCAGTCAAACCAGTCACGAGGGTTCAACTTTATTCCTTCCATTTACTCATCCGGGGCTTTTACCTGCCATTAGTTCGCCACATGTCGCCTATTATCGCCCATTGGGGAATCTAGAACATTTTACTTTCTCTTCTTAGTTAAAATATTGCTTCTTCTTGTTATAATACACAAAGGGGAAGATAAACTAGTCCAGTCAATCTCATGCATTTAAGTTTAATTTTCACTTGGGAATTGATAGGAAGAGAGAATATACATCAAAGCCCATAAGCCCGTCAGTAATAAGTACTAAAACGTTCCTCTGAGTATAAGATATGAACTAATGTTCTCGGGTTAAAGACATTCACCCAATGTCGAGTCAGTGATGTCATACAAAAATGGTATACTTTCCAAGAACTGGCTAAAGAAAATCGATCGAGGTCTGTTAGGGTTACATTATGTTTGTAACTAATCATATTTCTGACGTATAAATCATATCAATTATAACTTATTCTTCGATGTAAACATTTCATTGTAATAAAACATTAATGTATTGTTACATTTCCCCCCTTGTAAAAACATTCCCGTATACAAATCTATCACTCTCAACCCAGCACTCATTTAATAGTTGGATTTTTATAGTAGATGTACAATAGAATAAAATATTGCTTTATTGTTAGATTAATAGTCTGACGACTTAAAATAATTAATGATATATTTCTTTTGACCACTAAAAAGAATGGCAGTTGGAGGTAATTGTCAAAAAACCAGGTGCTATATTTTATGTTTCTCTATTTGTGATGAAACTTAAATCAGTGGCAAAAAATCTTTGGATTTTCAAGCTGTATAGCTATGGGGGTTAATTGTTATGTGAATCTCTCGTGCTACAAATGCTTTTGTTTTATTGCCATTTTATGGCTCATGACAGTGGTTTACTGCACTGTGGAATCAGCACGTTTAAAATGACAACGATTAACCATAGATAATTAGTGAAAGTCAAACGCATTGCTGTACACAAAATCATTAAGTATAGCACAACGCCATTTTTCACAAAAACAACAACATTCGCATGATTCGTAGAACACAAATTATACATGATTGTTAAGGCTAATTTTAATTGAAGTTCGTCTTAAGGTAATATACAGTATATATACATATCCAGAAAATTATGGATGGAGCATATAACTAATGCCTTCGTCAGTGTATCAGTTTGACTTTAATAGTTGATTTTATTCATGCATGATATATATTTTAATTCATAAATAAGCATATATGATCAGAATATAGATACCAACCAGTTGCGTAGGCCTATTAAATAAGCTCCAGTGCCTAGCAAAGACACTTGGCATCCACGTGTGGCATCCTTGACAGTCACATAAAACCAAGAAACCAGAGAAGAAAAAACAAGCAAAGGTCCCACTTCAAAATATGTATGTTTAACTGTTAACTGAGAATGACCTTGTCTTATTACTATTTCTTTATTCACATATTATTGTTTATTATTTAAAATTAGAAAAATAAACCTAACATTATTGAATTTTATATGTACAGCCCGGCTGACATGTAATATGAATTGACACATTGTCCATATCATAGTATTCACTGACACTCTTAGGGTTCAGTATGGTATGACACCATTGTATAGTCAGATCCCCTGGTAGATATTGTCAAAATTGAAGGCTAGGTAACTACTGTATGTCAGTGTATATACTAGTTGGGAAATCAAACTCCCATTCAGAGAGTCGTCAGTTAAGAGAATACCAGTCAGTTGACTATTCAATCCATTCGGACTGAATAGATTTAGTTGTTCATTATCTTCCCTTGGCGAAATCCACGCCGTTGTGACTATCTAACGTAATGCCTCCTGAAAATTCAGCAAAGATGAAATGTATTTGTGAATAAATATTTTAACGTTTATTGTTGTTTTGTGATTGATTTTGACACATATATACTGATTATTTCGTAACATAATAGACGATCTGATTTGTTTTGTAAAGGGTGCTGTTTTAATAATAATCGTGTCTGATGCACTGGTTATATTCCCATTATGTGTTAATTATATGTTGTCAAATTTATCAATATTTACATGTAAAGTGGTTTAGTAATCTGTCTCTATGCTACAAGATCCACTAGATTGCAATTGAAAGTAAAATAAAGGATACCTGTTTCCACTGCCCTTCATATGCCTGGTATATGAGAATATTTATAGATAGTTCCAAGTAGCCTGTTTTTAATTCTGACAGGCAGTGGTAAGACAAGTTTCCTAAAATAAGTTGTTTTAATATTAAATATGATTGATATATACGTTCAGATTGTTTGATTGTTAAGTTTGACTTCAAATATCGTTATACCTTCTGAACAGTGCAACGGAACTATCGGTGAATAATAATATTCATACAGGAATGAAATGTGATAGTTCCGGTTATTCTTAGTTTAACTAAACTCATCAAAAAATCTGAAATTGTATTCATGAAATAATATTTTTCTTCCAGGTTTCATCCATCAACAGGGTCTTGCGCAACCTAGCCTCAGAAAATCAAAAGGTCCTTGGCCAAGGGAGTATGTACGATAAGCTTGGTCTTCTCAACGGACAAGTGTGGCCTAGACCCAACCCCTGGTACTCCACCCCTCAAGCTACTATGCCCGGCCTAGGGATGACACATTCTCCCTATGGACAGTCACACCAGATATCACCACCTATTCAGGATAAAAAAGGTATTCTATCACACACCTATTAATACTTTTGAAATTTGTGCGCGAAAAGAAAAACAAGCAGTATAAATATAAAAAGCTAAAGTTTAGCAGTATAGAAAATTGAGGATATGACTTTTTTATTTACATCATTGATGCAAATATCAATTGAATACACAATTGTTGGTTCATTATATTCATATTATTAATTATTCACGTTTAGAACAAGAAGATGGGCATACTATTAATTTAGGATTCATTATGTTTAATTCTGATTGAAGTTTTCGAACGTGAAGGCAAATATGCAGCATATGATGATGTATGCCTTTATAATTAATTTTAAAAATGATAATATTAACGCCGAGTTTATAATTACTTAGTTTAACATTTTAACATTTGAGAGTCGTCTGTTTGTAATTTATAAAAAATTAATGTAAATAGTTCGGCATATTGATACTGTGGTCATTCAAGCATGGCGGAGTAATACATGATTCAACCCCCAGTGATATTTACCCAACACTCATAATAATAAATTACAACTAACACTTTGTGTTTACATTTTCATTAATTACTATGAAAGTCAACAAATCCTGTTTGAACTGTAATAAATTATAGTCAATTTAACTCTAGACACTTTGTCAACACGAAAAATCAAATGTTGGACAAACTACACTGCTCTTGCAACTACTTTAACCATGATATAACATCTTTAATACATAGTTATATAAATGCAAATTTTATTTTAACTCATTTTCATTGATTTTATGATATAATATTACGAATTTGATTACTGTCTAATATATCACGTTCTAAACTCGTACAAATAATACGTGATTTATTTGATTTTCAATTAGTATCTGTTTTATATAGCAGAATTATATTTTCATAATATCTCAGTCGATGGATCGATGAAATTTGTAGAAAACTGTAGCTATGGTGATGTAGATGAATAGTTTAGGTATATTGCATCTGTTTCAGATGATACTATACATACTGTTGCAAACTTAAAGATGAAAGCTCTACTAATTTGGTTTTCGTGTAGGGAAGATGATTGTTCCGGACACTGCTTTTTACTCAATGAGCCGTAGCTATAATTGCTTCATCGGCTCTGGTTCAACTCAAATATTCATAAATTCTACCTACTCGGAAAGGGTACATGTAACCTCAATTGATATATCAATATTGTAATTAGATGCTTATTGATGGTTAAGATAAAATCTTTTTTGAATTGTTAAAAATAAAAATGTCATTTTTTGATGAGTTTAATTAATATGGTTTACAACTGATTTTAATAAAGTATATAAACCAGTCATTATTGGTAAAAAGTCTTTTCAACGCTGAAATAATTAATTATACAGTTAAAATGACAAACTCTCTAGTATATGTGATAAATATAAATAGTCGATCTTAGAAAAGTTAAGGATTGTTTTACAATCGTTCCTTTGTGACAATTTCTAGCTTTATGTCAAATATCTACGCTAATTAGAATATATACGTTAGCATAATGGTGAAAGAAAATCATTGAAATATGTACATTGCCTAAGAATGGTTCAGAAGTTATACTTTCCTTCCCGTGATGTGGTTAGTGATTCTGTTCGAATATATGTGGTTCTTTAACAAGATAATAAGCTGGTTTCATTCCCGATCGCTGGTGTATCATATTACTTCTTGTTAAAGGTAAAACTGTACTTTTAAATTGAATCGCTAACCTGTCTTACAAAACCACCTATGTCATGAGTGCATTGACAACAAAACGTGGAGTATGTTTCTTTAATTTTCTTCAGGATCAGATTTCACTCTATCGTGAGGGTGATCTGGATTCTGTTTTTATAAATCATTTGAAAAAATAATATTGAAGCTATACACGCAAAATGAGATGCTGAGCACAGCGAGAATCTAACATTATGTCTTTTACCTGCCGGCATTGGATGAATAACGCTTTGAGAACTTATACAAAACAGTTTGGTGTTTTAAATATACAGCTTTCAATCAACAACAATGTTTATAAATAAATGCGATCTCGTGAAATCTGAGGGGCGACAGTTTTAATTAAATTGGTATAATAGGCACTGAAAGTGATAATGTATAAACATCGATAAATTGAACAAAAAACACTGAGCCGGGGGCTGACTTGAAGCCTACCAGAGGCATCACTTTTAGAAAATGCATTTGTGTAATGTATCCGATAAAACCAACATAGCAGTAAAACAATGAGTTCAAATGATCGTTGAGGTTGCAATGAATCTACTATTCGAATCTTGGTTATTATATTTTTTACTTCCCATTAGATTCTTTTTAAAATTCTTCAGCAGCTTATTAACTACTCAACATCTTAATAAAAAGTGACAAATTTGGGATATTGCGTGTCGCAGTTATCTTTATGTATCTTAGTCGGTGTCTTTGATCCTACTTTAATATACCTGAGTTTTTCATTAGAGGAAGAATTGGAACAAAATATTAATGCCTCTGGCCTGAGTCTGTGGATTCATGTGCAGTCCTAGTGTAGACTTTGAAAATATTGTCGGCGTAAACAGACAATTTTATGACATCACCGACTTTTTATATGCATACGCGAGAAAAAATAGTTCAGTAAAATAGTGTTTCCTTGGTAGACGTATGTTTTTGAATCGTTTTTGTTATCTTAGTTTGAGCTTCGTGTGAACCTATCACCTAGACATATGGAGAACTCCATTCTATGTATCTGTTCAGTACTGACTGGTTTGTTTGTTAGTTTTTTTATGTTGACTATACGTATTAAAATGGGTCTTCTTTCTTATTCTAATTGCATGTATTCTTGTAGAGGCGACATCGTTCTGACTAACTTAAGAGTGTCATTTCTAAGCCACTTTAAGAAAACTATAGAAACTGGTTATTATTAAACATATACTATTTTGTGGGGTTCTAAGTTATTATTAAAATTTGAAAACCCTAGTGTTTGTGTTATGATAGGGTTGGCTATGATATCTCTACGGCCTTCCCGATCTTGAGTCTCAATGAGTCTTTGAAAGCACAAATAAAGGGGTCATCAGTGATATTTTATGAACATTATAAATTCATAAACGTAATTATAATCGAGCTTGTAAGTTGACTGAAGAATGAAAACCCATGTTGCTATCGACCACACTTCAATACAACCCCATTCTTTTATTCCAAACAAAACTCAACCACTTTTGGAAAGGCGTTTTCAATTAGATATTTTCTTTATTGAATTTGATGATTTCCAAATCGGCTACCTATTATATTAAGACGACTGCAAGTCTGGCCTATGAAAAGCCTCTCGATTTAATCCAAAAGTATATAAATATATCCTTAATACGGCTGCTTGACTCTAGTCTTATTTTAGATTTATGAATCGAGTTTTCAACAAATTCTGTTTTTCTTTAGAATACAGCAAGGGTTAGCTCCCTCTCAATGCTGTAATGTTTTTTCTAAAACTTTATTAAGGTAAGTTAGTTATCGTGACAATTGTCCAACAAAGCTTTAATACCTCTCTTGGTGGTGAACTATTTTCTTTACGTAATCGCGCAGAAACTGAACAAATTGGTCGTATAGGGATGAAAAGATCACTAAACACAGACGATAATATTTACAGAAGGTTGGCTCCATAAATACTATATTACTAAAATTCTAAAGCTAAATAACAAAATGTGTGGTATACTATTGCTATCAAAGGTTTCATGAAAAATATTTGGTATTAATATTCAGGCCACATTATCTATTTCAAAATTGATTTAATTTGTTGCTCCCTGTTTTCTCATTTTCTGCTTAAACTTTTTAATTTCTAATTCGTTTTAAGAATAGATTGTATCCCAAGTTGACGTTTTATGACTTGGCCGTGCCTTCCTAATCCAAATACGACTTAGGCCAAAGAATTTCAAGATTTGGATTAGCATTATGCAATTTTCTCCCTTGTTAAGCAGTTAAGTGCCTAAATGCTATTTTCTTTTCAATTTTTATAAAATGTTTACACTGTTTATAAGATTTAGCACTGTCAAAGTGGGAAAAAAGTTAAAACATGGCGCGTTGAAGTGCTTATGTTGAGACAGTGTTCAGTTAGCCTGAAAACAGAACCAAACTTCTGTTTCTATTATGAAACCCAATATGCAACTTAAATTTTGTCCTGTCAAAATAAAGTTACTATGCCAGTGCGTATATTCATTAATATATATAATATTTCCATACTAGGTCTAATCACCCAGGGCAATTTTTGACATGATCGTGATTGAAAACATTAAAATCGAATATATTTGATTTAATTCATAATATACATATAGTCTGTCCCGTTGGTCAAAATGTGTACATATTTGCACTTATCCAGACGTCTCACAGCACTTTTTGACGCATCCCTTACCATGTGGTAATAAAGCGGAAGTGATTGGGCCATGTGATACAAATCCTTGTTTAGTATATTTCTTAATTGGTTTAATGACTAGAAAATCCAAATAGTACTTGTTTACTATTTGCTTCTTTTAGGTTTGATTGAATCTAGTGATTATCATCACAGATTACATGTTCAAACAGTTTAGGGGATGGGTAAATGCTAATCCGACTTCCATTTTATACCTTACCTCTATCATTTATTCAAACAACACCTATAATTATCTCCAAACCTTGGACATAATTTCGTTGTGTAACGAACCATTTTGCTAAGATCTGGAGCGGTCCCAAGTTTCGATCAATTTTCTCAATCAAATATTTTCTAGTTGTGTGTACGCCAAAAACACTCGGCCGTTTTGGCCATTTAAAAAAGTTTTGTATACTTTATTTTCCACTCATAAATGTAGAAAAAATCAGTTTACGCCAGCTGTTTCAGGTTCTGTTCTTTGTATACTTAAATTAGTTGGTTTGAAAAGAAACCTCCATATTGTGGCTAATATCCTGGAAAAGGTAAGGAATGGATAGTTGGGGTATGTTACATATTCCCATAGCATGCGATTAGCTGGGTTGTTTCTCGATTCATTGCCCTACACTGCACATTGCGGATGAATTTGCCGTTGTCCATCACAGCTTCTTTTCCTAAGGCGGGTAAAACAAAACCATCCGCACCTTATCATAAAATCCCTAGTAGTTATTCACACATTTAATTAACTGCCCCATAATTTCTACTGTCGACGGAATGTTTTCAAATCGACATGGGTTCAGTTTCATATCCTTTGCTTCATTTATCAGTATTGGCCTTTGGTGGTGAATACTCAGTAATTAGTATTTTCTATTGAGTTTGGCTGAAGATCTTTGTTTTTCCAACAATAAATTAAATATCTTTGAAGATCCCGACCTTTCTATTGCAGATAGTGCTACTGACAGCATCATACAAATTGGAAGACATTCAGAACCTCTCGACTTGGTCCGGGTCAAATCAATATAATTTCGTATGATTATTTAAAAATTAGTGGAATTGATTGAAAAAGTCCTTAAGGCTAATTTGAGGATCATTATTTTGTCTCCTGCAAATAGAATCATAATTTGATTCTCTTTGAAGCTAGAATTTCTGCCTCCAGATAGGCATTGGTTAGAGAAAGTTTAGGGACTTTCATTTGATTAAGCAACTGCTGTATGAATGTTGAGCATGTGATATTCCTTCAAAGATAACTTGAAATAGTTCAGCTTCTATTATGATTTTCACATCCGGTCAAGTCCGTCTGCTTGTTATATTCCTCCGCCATCTGGAACTATTTTTTGATATTGATAACTGGACCTAACAAATCTTCAAAGAGTTTAATATAGCTAGAAACTATAATTATAGAAGTTATTGGATTGGAGTTGACCTCGAGACAAACTTCTGGTGTGGTGGGATCATTATAAAATCCTTGATTAGGATTCATGGGAAAAGTATGATTGAGTAACCGCAGCGTTTGCTGAGTGAGAGGCGAAGATTTGCGGATAAGTACTCCGACATTCATTCGTGCGTGTGCAGCCCAATTCGACGGAAAATTAGATTCTTGAAAAAGCGCAAAATAAACTCCGATTTTCCATCATCCATACAAAGCCACTGATATACGTTTCATATAGAAATATAAGTTTCTGCTAATGTCACTTCGATTTTATTAGTGTCTTCTTTTTGTCTCTTCCATTGCAATTATTAAAGCTTCATTAGTGTCCATTAGCATTCATTAAAACTATCATTAATTCTTAGTTAAAATAAATACAAATTAAAACAACTAGTTAGTGTATATAATTAATTTATACATATATAATAATGCGACAGTTCAAGAATTTTCTGGATGCATGATCTTTTCGCTCGTGTTTTAAATGGCATCCTCACGGAAAATTAGCCACATCTATTTTCATACTACTGCGTTCTGATGCAGCTTCTCCTACCAAAGTACCATACGACAGTGCGTCTCGTGGTTTAAACAATTAACTTATTGAACAATCGATTACAAGACAATATCGAGGCATTTCACCTGTTTAAATGTTAAAACACCGTGAAATCGCTGCAGCTACGTCTTCAGTACCATTCAAGATGTTCTTCATTCGACCATGAAATACATCCACGGATCACACTTAAATGAGTGTCTAATTAACTGAATTTAGCAGAAAAATACAAGACCTGCTAATGAAGGCAATATATACACACGTCTTTCAATCAAATTATCCAGTGCTCCGTTTAAATAGAAGGAACGTTAATCGGTTATCAATATTAAATCTTGGTAAATTTCATCTGTAAATAACGCAAACGTTTATAGGTTGTTTTGCATTGAAACATAAAAAAAATAATTTGAAAATTATGTTAACAAATATCCATTGAAATAAATTAATTAAAACTATATCTAAATTATAAGGTTATTAATTCAATTTGTTAATTAAATAACATTTGGACCAACACGTTAAAAAGCATCAAAAAGTGAATCTTTTTTAATTGCTTTAGTCAGTTATTTATCTTGTTAAACATGATATTTATTTGTTAAAATGGTTGTTACATTTAACAATTGGTTAACTAGCCTAATCTTGACTAAACAAAGCACTACAAATGTTTGGATTCAAGTTTATATCCATAAGATACAAATATCGTCAAGTAGCAAGTGTTTAGACAACGTGACTTTCCATCAGTTAGCTTCATTTCGTCCCGATACAGGGCGATGATGACACATTCTGCATTTAAATTCTATATGCCTAACCCAAGGAGGATTGGCTCCCAGAGTGCAACATCGATATTCTGTCCCATATATGGGCATGTCGTGCTACAAAATTTGAATTCCAACAGCCGCCATTTTGTTCACTTCAACATTTGAATCGTAAATTTTGGTCTTATTTCCTGACGAAAAATTCCAAAACTCACAGGAAATGATTGAGATATTGGTTCGAATCTTTTAAACTGTTTATTTTGAATTTATAATCGGTTATAATTTCAGAAAATAACGACATCTCGGCGTTTTCATTGTTGGAAAATATCGACTTCGATTCTGGGAGCCAATCCTCCTTGTGCCTAACCAGTGGTGTGTAGTGTGTACCCCTTCTAATAGTTCTACTGGTCTCGTTTGACGTCTATGTCAAAACTCAGACTATTTTGAAAACAATTTCATTTCAAAATGCAACGTTTTAAAAATCAATTTAAGTGTCTGACAGTTTTTGGTGTGCAAAGACTTCCTAATTATTTGAAAATTCATTTGCATTTATGAAATGCTCAATACGATAGATGTTTTATACTTTTGTGAATTAACAGTTCCGGTCCTCGTACCATACGCACAAAAATGATATTTTTGATGTCGTGTTTCAAATTAGAAGCAAACCCTCCTATAGCACTATAACAGTACACCCTGCGTCAAGTTTACAAGCGTTTGATTATTCCTTTATGCGATCATAACAAAACAATAACCAAAAACAAATGCATCATACTTAATATCTCATTAAACATTCACTATGTCAGGTACTGTTGAATATACGTTCAATGTGAGGTAGGATAGAATAGAATAACATCACTTTATCATGTTTCAACATTGAAGTACAATTTTTAAACATTTCAATCCCATTTGTTTTTTATGCTTATGTATTTGTCCATTTCGTAGTAATTTTGATCAAATATATCTTATGTATAAACAGACAAAATAATCGTACCAAGTGAAATTGCAATAAAAACATTGCGTTTCATATTGTTTTATGAACCTTTTGCGTTTCTTGATTCAGGTTTTCAGAAGTTGTCTTTTCTTTTCTGAAAGTATATAAGCGTTACAATATGTTAACATTGCTTATTAGACCTTGTGTATTTTTTTGTAAATAGTTGCTTTAAAGTTGTGTATGTATTTATTTACGATGTACTAGTTAATGATGAATTGCTCAATGCGTATTACTTACCGATTTATTACACTATGATGTTTTACTTGACAATGTAATACTTAATTTCCTTACTATGTTTTACAATTGTGTGTTGCAGAAGGCATTCTAGAAAACACAAGCGCTGAGAGTCCCGGCAGTCACACTGGAGGAGAAAGCGCCAATGGGGAACAAGATGACCAAATGAGAATAAGACTGAAACGAAAACTTCAAAGAAACCGTACTTCATTCACAAATGCTCAAATTGAGGCTTTAGAAAAAGGTTAGTATTTTGGTCATTGTTTTTGTCTTAATACCACATGGTTTGAAATAGTACGTAGTTTGTATGGCGACAGTGAGATTATAATGGTAATACATCAGTGAGGAATAGCACCAAATGTGCATGTTTCAAATGATGAATTAAACATATGTTTTGATGATATTTTGTAGAGTTTGAAAGGACTCACTATCCTGATGTGTTTGCACGTGAACGTCTTGCACAGAAAATAGATCTCCCAGAGGCCAGGATTCAGGTGTGGTTTTCCAACAGACGAGCGAAATGGCGACGGGAGGAAAAACTACGCAATCAGCGTCGCGATGTTCCACCCAATGGCATGAACATGAACGCTATGAATCGTATGCCAATCAACAGTAGTTTCCCCAATAGCATGTACCCCACTATACATCAACCAATAGCGACTATGACAGAAACATACAGGTATGCTACATTAAAAATATTTGAGGAATATGTGAAAAACTTTTGAAAAGAATATCCATATAAAAGAATATGGATAACCATATATCAATCAACAAATGAAATATGTAAGCTGTACATTTCCTTGGGATTAACTATAGTATATTTAGGGTAATGGATAAAAATAATGTCGCAATTATGTATACTATACTGTATCCATTACTATGAGCAAATATTTGCTTGGTTTATCAATTACTGTATTAGAATAATTACTTGTTATATCATTTACTATAGGCGAATTATTACTTGTTATATCCATTACTGTAAATAAATATTTACTTGGTATATCCATTACTGAAGGTGAATATTTGCTTGGCATATCCATTACTTAATAGGGAATAATTAATACATGTGTAACAGTGGATTGGATTGTGACTAATATCTTTTTTAATTTCAGCTCAATGCCCCAGATGCCAAGCTATAGTTTGTCTAACAATTTAGGTCAACCCAACCCAGCCTGTTTACAGTCCTCAAACACCTCATCATATTCCTGCATGCTGCCTGGAATGACAGGTAGGTCGCCATTAACTTTATCATCATTATCATTAATCGTTGTGTCTGTGTTATTAATCATTATTATGGCAGTAACAGAATATGTCACGAGCCTCTGTGTTTCGTTAATTACTTTTGTTGAATATCTTTGCATGAGATTCTCACCTAGTATACGTAGAAAAATGAATTATTTTATTATATCATGAACTCTATAATGTAATATTTATATGTGAGTGTTGTTAAAAACAAGTTGTTACAAAATCACATCCTAAGTGTGACTTTTGTTTATATTTCAGATTATGTTTCAGGATCCGCTAGAAGTTATGACCCCCTCTCACTCACCAGTTATTCCCGACCCTCATGCAACCCTGCGGCAACAATGCAGTCACATATGAGCAACCCAGTTGCAAACGGATCCTCCACAGGTTCGCATTTCTACTACTGATTGCTGAGTGCGCACCATTCTATTCTCTCAGGTAGCCACTGCTTTTAACACTCCTTCTACACGATTTTTGGGTCCTTTATAGTTTAACTCTCTAGGATGATTTGTTGGTCCTTCATATTGTAACACTCCCAAATTGACATATGCACATTTCATATTAGAACGCATTCCTGGAAACGTTTGAACCTCTCATATAACACTCTTAAACGACGTATCTGGCTTTTATAGTTTGACTTATTTTTAGAAATAAACCTTCTACAAAAACAATGTTTGTTTACACCTTCCAGACTTTTTGCACACCTTGCTTTTTCTTGGTTTAACTCCATCTCCCACTTTAAGTAAATCTTTGTTTCTTATTAACATTACTTTCAAACATACGAAAACCTTTCATATATTAACATTTTGAAAGTTCAACATGCATTTGAACACACTGACTAACATATGTGTACCAAACACTGTGTGGTCCTTTCATATTACTAACAAACTTTCAAAACTTTCCTCACCATTTTTGCAGTTCGACATGGTTCTCTTTTATTTATTCTATGAGAGAAAATGATGCATGTACCATTTCCAAAGTGTATACAATTAACACATTTCAAAATTATTTGTAGTAGACATTACTATATGGCTATGGTCTGGTTTTCTATCTGACTGTCCCTTAGGGCCTTGTAAACTTAAAAGTCATTATTTTACTTCTTTGGGCCTTCTTTCTTCAAGGGTATTTTTAAGCTATGGAACAGAATTAACTCATCAGTCACAAATATTTGTTTAAAGTAAGGAAATTTATGTTATAAAAATTGATAAGATTTAGTAAACACCACAAGTATGCATTGCCCAAGGACTTTATGGCTAATCTTGAGATTTTGTGTCCATATATCCAACCAAGAGTCCTATATTATTAAATGCGAGTGGCAGCATATTTACTTGTTTCACCTTGATTTAGAAACAAAGATAACATTAAAACATAATCATTTATGTAAACATAGATGTGTCATTGTGTCATTGCAGGTCTCATCTCTCCAGGTGTGTCAGTTCCTGTACAGGTGCCTGGGGGTGGCCCTCACCCACCCGTAGCTCACCACCATCAGGACATGGGCAGCCACGTCCCCCAACATATGAACCCTATGAGTATGACATCACAATACTGGCCCCGCCTCCAATGACCAACCTGAGTGGCAGTAGTATGACATCACAATAAGGTGAAAACTATTATAGTGTGACATTGCAATGGCAGCCAGGGCCGATGTTTTACCACTGAGGTCAAGGTCACATAAATGCTTCAAGTCCAGAACGAAAGGTTTAGAACATTTAGCATTCATAACACAGACGAACAATACCATAAGACCTGGTACAACTCCATTAACTGTTCATGGTCAAATATTTGTGGTGAAAACAACAGTAGAAGCACAGTAACAGGAGGATGTGGAAGTTAAATACATACAGTGTGACAATGCTTTGTACCAGTCACATTGTAGCGTGTATGCTATTTCTAGTACAGCAACGGTGGTATGACTATGTGGCATTTTGTTGGAAAAAGAAACATGAATGTTTTTGTACGTAAACTAAGTATTGTAAATGGGACAGGGTGATGATTTACAGACCATGAACAAAAACTAGGTCACCATATTGAATTTATTTTTGTTGGTTTTGGAATTTAAATTTAAAAACCCTTAAAACTATTAAGATTATATTAATATCTGTGTTACTTACCTATAACTTTATGGGTATAATTTCTCCCGCTGAATCTATGAACAATAATATTTATATGTTTCATGAAATGGGTTCATTCAGTATTAATACCAGCAAGGGTAATGCCTCATAAGTGCATCATATATGATGATTAAGTGCATCATATATGATGATTAAGTGCATCATATATGATGATTAAGTGCATCATATATGATGATTAAGTGCATCATATATGATGATTAAGTGCATCATATATGATGATTAAGTGCATCATATATGATGATTAAGTGCATCATATACGATGATTAAGTGCATCATATACGATGATTAAGTGCATCATATACGACGATTAAGTGCATCATATATGATGATTAAGTGCATCATATATGACGATTAAGTGCATCATATATGATGATTAGTAAACACCAATGAGGTCAATTTATCTGGATCAACATCAGTATTTGGTGCAAACCTTAGTTTAAAGTATAGTATATTAATTATATACAAGGGTCTTGTATTATAATGTAAACTTGTAATTTAATTTGTATAAAATATATTGTAAATCTGTACAGTAATTGGAACTAAGTTCAACTAAATTCAGACTCATCTGTATTCATAGATTCACATTCACATTTGTTAAGATGAAGGATTAAAACAAATTAATTAGTCTTGCCTCAGGACCCTAGACCCCCCCCCCATCTACTTTATACCAGTGTGTCGTGTTGGAGAAGTAGATAAGGGAGGGGGTCGACAATCCTGAAGCAAGACTACATATTAATACTCAAACCTTTAGTTGTCAAATGTTAATGAGTATATTTATGAAGTATACTTGCATGTACAGATATGAAAAAGGAGTGTAGCTAACACTGTTATTAATAAAAGTTATGAATATTCAGATTCATAACTGGTTAATTTGATAGCATTTCATTGCCAATTTTATATGTTAACACATTCTGTTTTATCATAATTTTATATAAAAAATTATTATTGTCCATGTCATGCTGACCTTGGGTACTTTATTTGTGGTCAGTCAACAAAATAAATGACCTGTTTCAGAAAGAATATTATTAACATTTACTTAATATATAATATGGCAGGCTGTTATATTTATAGGGAAACTTTATTTTTAAATTACACTTGAATACTTGATATGATAATGTAAGGTACTGTACACAAGCCATCTATTTTTGAGTTCCCAATTTATTTGGTGAAGGCAATGCAATTGCCAAATACAGGCAGCGTTTCTGTATATACTCTTGGTATTTAAGAGCATATCATGACAAGGATGATACATGTATATTATCTCATGACTGAGAATGATATACAAAATATATATTTATGTCAATTTATAAAGATAAGCCCAGGGTTGAATGGTAAAACAATTAAGCAATGTCGCGTGCAATATGAAACTACATTAAATACAACAGGGTGGCGTTTCAAAGATGACACTTTTGGAAAACGTTGTAAAAGTGGACAATTCAGTTATTTTGAGATCCATATCATACATTTGGACAGCCTCATCAGTATAATTACAAGTTATTAATTATATGATATATTCCATTATTTTGTGCTTTTCAGCATTAGGAATCATTTCCTAAAATATATGTTTCATTTCTTTTCTTGTTCTAACTGATAACATATTAATGTAACCTATATTTAGTAAGATATAATATGTACAGATTTTGTAAAGCAAGTATATGTACAACAGAATAACAATAAGTAAGTAAATATATAATAAATGTTTGCAATAAATTACATATTGACAACGTCAAAACAAAACTTATGTTGATATATAAGAATATTAAACGGATAACTAACATTTTATTCACTACTCGGGCATAATAAATTGACCAAACACTGATGTTATATATTAAAGTGGTGAATATTATTTGTGATATTACGATAATCGAAATAGCAAGCTAGAGAACTTTTTGAATTTTATTTATACTCCAACCTTAAAGATTCATAACAAGTTAATCTAAAGTTTAAAATTTTCAAAAAATTGACTGTCACTTTTTCTTAACCTTAATTACTACAAATGTGTACTTAGTGTTAATTGGCAACCGAAACACCCCATCTTATAATTTTAATCATAATTCATTCTTCAATTGCAATAAGTCAGAAATTTATTTCTTAATTGATGAAGCTCGCATCACATCACATGATATGACATTGACGTACAGGGGCTCTTCAGAATAAGTCAGTCTAAAGGCTCCCAGTCACCCCACTGGGACAAACTCATGCAAAAAATTTGCTTATGCTGGTATAAATTATCCCATATCTAAAATGAACGTTTTGTTAGCTCACTTCAAAAAAAGTAAGAAAGGAATGGCAGATACCATGTTTCTACAGATGGAGTGTATATTAAATAACCGTCGTGATTTCTCAAAATGTGGTCGTGTGACAGATTACCCATGGTAACAGAATATGGTTGTACGACGGGCCAACCATTTTGATAAAATGTGCATTATTGACAGCTCAATGCTTACAGAATATTGTTGTATTACACGCCCACCATGCTTACAGAATATGGTTGTACGACGGGTCAAAAAATGATAACACAATTAAGGATGGGTGACAGATCGACCGTGCTAACAGAATATGCTTGTGTATCAGCGCAATGCTATAAGAATATGATTGTAAGACAGGGCCACCGTGGGTTTACCGTAATGGATTAGCACGTATACCTACGTGACAAATCGACCGTGGTTACAAAAACGGTTGTATGACACAGAACATAGTATAATAATTTGGATTTGTGAGATTGGCCGTGCTAATACACTACGGTTGTATGATGATGCTGTCAAACAGAATCAAGTTCTACATAAACCGATCGCGAACACTTCTTGATCACATAATAATAACAATCAAATTGATCATTGTGATACGATGGTATGATGAGCATTTAAAATATTCGATTTACTACGATTTGAGCAATTTTCTATGAGATTAAGCATGTTTACGTGGCCGTAAGACTGTGAAATTATGATCAAAAGGTGGAAAGTATATCGCTTGATGTCCAAAAGGCACATCATTTGTATATACTGCTGAAGTTAATGAAATTGTATATAAATAAAGTAGCCCTGATGAACATCATGTTATTCACGTATTTCTAATATACATGTACACTATACTGATATACGAAGAGGGTTTCAACGCAGTTTTACACTGAACTAAGCTATTTTTGGTGTTATCTGGCAACATCATCAGAAGTGGAATATATTATAAAAGTTGGATTATAGTAATACAGTAAAACTGTGTACGTGGAACACCTTTGGTACCTCTAAAAGGTGTTCCACTTGGGAGGTGTTCCACTTATAGAGGTTGACTTTTAAACAGTAATTCAGTTTGTCTTGAGACTCTGAAAAATGTTCCACTTCTAGAGGGGTTCCACTTCCAACAGGGTTCACTGTAATTACAATTTTTTCTGATTATACTATGTTCAGCTATTTGTCAACCACCTAGATTAGGAACACCCATTCACACATACAATCTGTTTGAATCCAAGTCAGAAATAATTTGCCATATTATTGGACTTGTACTTTTTTACTTTATATCTATATCTAATCAGACATTTTAGATATCTTTATTTTAGCGGATGTTCCTCTGGCAAAGGTGCCCCTGCAGGACAGCTGTTTCTGAAGTATAGAATAGAGCTTTTTACAAGAAATATGTTGCTCAAAGTTATCCATCTACATTTTAAATATCCATAACTTAGTGAACATTTTCCAGTCGATATCACCAAATTCGAATTAATTATTTGATTATCTTTTATTATAAACAGTCAAGTTTTTTGAAAAGTATTTGAGATAATAATGTAACATAATATCTACGTTTTTTATGTTTATGTCACCAAATTCAAAGCCTATAATATATATTTTTTGAGAGAACCACATGGCATAAACTGTATAACATTTCAGTAGTAATCAATGCGTGATGAGACTTGTGCCATCCACACGTTGTTATACTTCTATTGAGTTCATTTTCTTTTTTATAATTCGAAAAATAGACTGTTCGTTTTACAGAAAGAATTAATTTTTCAAATTTTCAAATTGTCGTCTTATCGATATGCGTGTCGTATATCTTGAATGTTAGATTGTAAGATATCTTATGCAATGGCATAATTGTCTGCGTTGTATATGTCGACAATGTCACTATGAACGCCACCCTGATTGTCACCATGTTTTTGATCGAGTATAATTAATGATACATATATAGATCATTGTTCTTCGGGAAAGTTGTATTTGTTTTCCTTATGACTAGTGTATACAACAATATAAACATAAATCCTTAATTAAGATATAAAAAATCAATTAACGATCCACGACAAATTAATGAAATAGGGCTGAGCTACTAAGCGGTGCACTTCACACCCTGTAATCACGTAGCTCTCAAGAGACGGGAAATATTCGAGGAAAAATAAAGAGCAGAGTCACTCGACTCGGTGAAAGTTCCAAGGCTTTGAAAGACATTTTGTAATATTTATTACACAGATTGAATGATCAAAGGCTGTTGGGTATTCAATTACATTGTTGAACACAATCGGTGTGATAAATCAAAACTGTTGAAAATGGTCAGTCAGCGCTTGCTGTAGTGATTGAATTTCTACCCAAAATTAATTTTGCCCATCGTGTAATTTCAAACTTGTTAATGATGTGATGCTCTCTAGATGGACATATTGTTGTCTCATACGGATTTGTACGTGGCCACCTTGATGGTAAATCAGTTAAGTAATGGTGACAGATCTAAATGTGGAAGTGTGCCACGTTTCAATTTCAATATCTTATATTCCAGTCAATTGATTTACGCTTTCGTATTTTGCGTAACATTTTCAATTATGCGTGAAATGTACACATATCTAACGAGTAACCTCAGACAAATGGTATGTAAACTTACAATGCGATGACTACTTCAAAGGAATCAGCAGTTTCAAAACAAACAACGTCTTCCCGTTTGGACATAAAGTATTCACCATAAGTAAACTTAAAAGTGTATATCTGTAAATGTTCGCTCTTTCTTCCTAATCAAAATATATAACAGGTCGAACATGAATTTTGTGTCATAATACTTTTATGAAGAAAGACGAAAAACATGTTTATAAGTTATGACAACGCTAGATAGAACACTCTTATTTTGTTCTGATATCTATTTTGAAGCCCGGAGTCTAACATGCTTCCATTAATGCAGAAATTATGAATGTTAACGTGGCTAGAGTCCTTCTGCCACATTTCTGGGAGGATGTTTTATATCAATGCAAATGAATCGGGGATAGAGCCATACAACTAACCGTTATTGCATTTAGGTCACCTTTAATTAAACCTATTCCTACAGGTATTCTATCCACTGAAGGTATCACCCATACGGGCTTTTAAATGGTCCAAAGATCATCATAAATGGGAGAAGAAAGGTGGAAAATGCAATTCACCGCGGTAATGATAAATTAACAGCCATGCCAGTGAAAGCGCTACCTTCCGAACAAACAACTTTTGTTTTCGTGTTTTTCAAACAAAAAGTGTAAGAATCTATGCTTAATTATAACAACTTGCGCAATTAGTGCGGTAACTTCATATTTTGCAATTTTGGACGTGCTTTTTGTACATTTTGGTGGGTTTTAAAAGTGACGAAAGGGTCGCTGAAAGGGGGTGCATGAACGGGGAGGTTTTGGGTGCTCTGGAGTGTAAAATGCGCAATGGAGTAGAGGGAATTATTATCATTTGGGGTGGACCCCAAGTTTAATTAATTCATTAAACAGACAAATTTATGTTTCATTTTCCATTTGATGTCAGATTTGAGCATCTGGTACGAGTTGAGAGTGAAGAATTTCGAAGAAGACAAAAAACACTCAACCCATGGGCACTTAAGTGTTTACAGATTACTTAACGTTGGAGTGCGGGAACAAGTGTCCAGAAGTGTTCTCTACTTCTTAATTTACTCGAACGTAAGAATTATCTTAAAGAGGTGATTTTATTGTTTTTATATGACCATTAAATGACATATAACATGCGTCAAGATCAATTCAACGGCAACAATCTAAATGTCCGAAACTTTCAGATATTGTCTTAAAATTTAGAAAGTCATTTCATATTTTCGAATATTTTTACCACAATACCCGACAACTATTTTATATACGAATGGCTCCATGGAGCTAAGGATGGTTCAGTGGAGCTCAAATCGTAAAAAAGTAGCAGAAGAGGGGGTTTACTGGGTAATTGATAAACATTACATGATATAATAATGATTTAATATTAGAAAATCAAAAATAATTTTCTTTTCAACTTTAAGGTAAAACCCAAAAAATGAATTATAATATTGCGCGTACAATGCACATTAAACTAAATTTACAGAATCACAAAAATAATCAGCAAAGCCCAGCATAATAGTCATCTATATTCGGCTATACACAGACTTATACTGAAGAATATCAAGCGCTTTGTCTCAGGAATAAGAAGTGGGAAAAATTAATTAACAGGAAAGAGAAGTACATTTATGACACTGTCATAAATTGTTGATTTTCAACTCGAATAGATTGATGTGGAAAGTTAACATTCAGGCATTGTGTCAGTATTTCTAGTGGTTTACAACCATGCAGTGAAACATTATGTGAGGTCAAACAATGCCTATAATTAAAAAACAATGCATTGATTAAGTAACTGAAATATTTAATTTAATTTAGGCAAAGAAGAATAATTGAAATAGACGATAGTTGCAATTTTCAATTCATAATTCAAGGTATGTAAAGGACAAGTCCCAGTTTGGAGTCTCCCGGGCTAATAATTTTTTTTTTATGAAAAATATAGAAATATCATCCAAATTAAATTTTGGTTATTCAAAAGATGACATTTCAATCTAAAATATGTAAAAATATCAAAATTGTTCAAAGCAGGCATAACGTGCAGTAGACTGATGAACTTCGTTCTCCAAACCAAGACTAGTCTTTTTCATAAAATATTCAGAAAATTTTATTTTATTATGTAGATGTGTAATGTTTATTGTTTCTCCTCAATTATTGCGTAAAATTTATTTTATGATAAATAATAATAAATATACATATAGAATCCTTCATATACACCCAGGAAAGCCATTGGTTTACAATTAGTATAATAAACAGACTAAATAAGTCGCCTTTATATATATATTTATTTTATATAATATTCTCTGTATATATAATAATTGACAAAATTTACAAATAATTGATGTTTGTTTCATAGATTACATCCTGTAAGTTATAACTGCATCTGTTGTATAAACCGACACCAATGCCTTAATAAAAATAATAATATTGAACATTTATAAAAAATTAAATCAACCAAAATGTACAACTTGTGTAATGAAACAAAAATCAAATTTAAAGACACGTTTTCCAATTAATGACCACTTCAGTTTTTCATTGTATGACAAATACTCTAGTAATTTATTTATAAAAATGTATCATTAATTTACATATACATAAATTGTTATTGTATACCATTGATGACAATATCGTTCATATACACAAATTAATATTTACACATTCATATAACAACTTTATTATCATGATTGTGTGAAATATTATACAATTTTGATCCTAATGTGGGGTTGATATAAAGTAATATACATGTATTGCTACTTTATCTTAGTAGTGGGACTCAAAATAAATTTTAAGAAATTGTGATTTATTTTCATTTTTGCACTTGATATTATGCACCTTCACATCAAAATTATATTTGAGCTTTGCTCTCATTTGTCATAACAGACTATACATTCACATTAACAAAAACATGGACAACATAACTCTAAAGACTCTATTTAAGCCAGTCCAGTAGAGATTGTTTAATTGAACAATTAAGCAACTAAAACTGCATGTAAATATTGACTACTTCAAATCCAGATGAAATCATACCTGATGTCAATAAAACAAAGAATTCTCATGAACTGGATGGATTCCCATCATGCTAGATTTGATTCCTCTTACCATAGCTAAATCATACAGATTCTTTGTTTCAATATTTTCATGAAAATTTTCTAAAAGAATACACCAGATTCCACCTGGACTGTAAGTCCCTTTTAAAACATTACACGAAGATTAAATTTTATTGCAGACAGAATACAGGATTAGCCTTAAATGCTATACATATGTAATCCAATTTGGAAAAAATACAATAAAATCGTAAATTCTTGAAAATTTATTGAGAAAAAAATGTTAAGAAAAGTACACTGCATATGATAAATATGTTTTATTTGTGAGAGTATTTCAAACTATGTAAATACTCTCTAATTACTATATCTGGCTTTTTGTACCCAGCGACAGCTTCATTTCACAATTTTGGGCCGAATGAACTTGGCGGAATAATGCCGAAATTGATTCAAATTCGGAAAATTTTGGCCCAGAGGTGCATATAGCTCACCTATCAAAGCGGGGTCCAGTTGGATAGTTTGGTGATTAACTTTAGGTATTCAATTGTTGTAATGGGTGAGATATGGTCAGTTTTACCTTCAATTGAGAAATGTGATCTTATACAGCTGGCCAATGGTTGGGAAGGAGGGGGGGGGGGGGTGATTAAAACTCAACACAGAATAAATCATTGAATAATCAAATAAGGTTTTGAACAAAGCAAAGTATAGCACTCTATCAAGACACAAAACAAAGGAAATGTGTGACCTTTAAAATCTGACCACCTAATCTCATGGTCCCAATAAAGTCCCAAGATGCAAAGTGAATAGAGATGTTATTTTGAATGCACATTTCCCCTCACTACCTGGGTGATAACTAAATACACCATAGGGAACCTATATCTGTGTCCACCATCAAACGCTCAATATTTCCCCCTCACCGTGATTCCTATACAGAAATAAGATCAATGAAGGACCAATGTTTTGTTCTAAAATACCTCAACATTGAAACATGCCCCCTTGATCAGTCACTAAGAAAATTGAGAAAGTTTCAGTCTATAATTTCCCAATCCAAGGCCCCATAATTTTGTGGCTATAAAATTGAAGCATAAAATTGAAAGTTACCATTATCGCCATTAATGAGTGTTGTACTGTATAATTGAGTTCCCTATGTTTTCATCAACACTTTAATGTATGACTTTATTTTGCTAATAACTGAGTTTCATAGATGTTGGTAACATAACAGAAATCTATCACTTGATAACTTGATTTCTTATTAAGCTAAAAAATTAGAACTCTCTGCAGGAGTTTACTAAAAATCCAATCAAAGTACAGTACAGTATATCTCCTTATTGGAAATGATACATTTATATTAAAGGATTCTGGCTTAAACTGGGACAATGGCTATTCATATGATAGTACATATATTTTTGCTTGAGTTGATGTGCCATGCGGTCGAAAACCTAACAAGAGTTTTGATATTGACCCAGTTATGAATTAATGTACATGTAACTATGTGCAGTACAACTCCTCTCAGGTATTAATATATAAGTAACATATTGCTCTGTCTAGTGAGCATATCTCTTAAGTAAACACACCTCAGCTCACTTTCTAAAAAAGACCAGTTATTCCAGAGAACACTTCCTCTCAGGTTATCACCTTTCTGGTGAACACCTCTCTCTAATGAACATTGCTTTCTAGTAAACACTACTTTACAGTGAATACTGCTTTCTAGTGAACATCTCTTTCTGGGATGTATTTATATCTAGCAAAAATCCCTTCCTAGTGTAAACCATTTTCTCTAAGTGGACATTATGTGTAAATGAAAAATAAACAATGTGTTCATTTTTATAAAGATTATGGATAACTAAAACATTGCATTCTAAATAGGAATGTTTGTCATTAATGCCACTCTGCAGAATGATACGAGTTGTGTGCTCTGAGTCAGGAGAGAAACAGAAGTTTCTTTCAGTTTCTAAATGTCTAAAGGTACATTGCTATCACTTCATCCACCTTTGGGTTCCATTTCAAATTCCCAAAATGCATTGCGTTTTGTTTTATTCACTGACCACCATAGCAACCTGAAAACAATAAAATATTATCATTAAGGTATTCATGAAATTATATAGGATTACAAATTGCTTTTTTTAATTCACAATTTACGATGACGTTTAGTAATACAAGTGGCGCAAATGGTTATTATCCCTTTTGTTTTGAAAATTGAAAAATTTTCGTCAAGAGAGATAACCTGTAAAATGTTAGCATTGCGATTAGAAATAAGAGGGATTCGAAAGGATAAATGTCACAGAGGTTATTAATACGGAAATGAAGATTCTTCCTACAAAAGACCGAAGCAATCTGTCACTTGAGATATTACCCCCTCTTCGAGAATAAGTACTTTCTATTAACAGATCACAGTAATATAAAAGGTAATAATTGTTATATGGGGAATAAACTATAAGAAATAAATGACTCCCAAGATATTGTTCAATCTAATTATTTCAGTTTATAATTGAAAATTATTGTTTATTGGCCCGGGTGTAAACATAAAGTATGAAAGTCAAATGTGATTTCTGTAGTCATTTTTTCAGCAATATTTCAACTCCCAACAGGCTATTCCCAGATTTTATGACACAATTATTATACAAAAAAATTATAGAAATCTTACTCATAATGCCAAGGCATTATAAAATACCATTTTTCCGATACTTCTATACCAAGAAATAATCTTCTAAATAAAGAGCTGAAACTACTTGTAAATAATAAATAATAAAATTCCAAATTTTCAATCTTTCTACAGCGTTAAAGTCATCAAAATCAGAAATTATCAGCATATTCAACACTTATGGCTAAATTATCAATTAAAATTAATACAATAAAGATGCACAATTCCAGCTTCACAAACCGACATATAACAGTATAAAAGAAGCAATAAAACTTCTAGGTACCTAATATTGTGGTAGATAAATTCAAAAGGCAAATCATTATTTTATGGGGCACCTCAGGGGGTTTATCTATAGCCTAACACAATTCAGAGGACATTGTATTGTTCATTTTATTATAAATCTTCATCAAACTTAGATTGTCCATTTTTATTTGAGAAATAATCATCTATAGGACCATATGGATGGAATATATAGTCTCAGCAACCCTCCCCTTAAACAATACAATACGGTTTGAATGGTATAGAAATTGGGGTGAAAAGGCCCAGATATGTTACAGTAGCCACATTTTGCATTTTCTATGATTTTGTGCTGTTACCCTTCCATGCTTTCTATATGTTTAATAGAAACTAAGCCCTCAGTCATATTAAACATAACTGATCAATTACTGGAATTTTTATTTTTTAATAAAAGAATTGTTGATCAACAATAAATATGCTTTTTAAAATAATGTGCTTTTTAGGAATAGACCTTGTTGCGATTTCTTTTATTTACATGCTAATGAGTGACATACCTTTGCAAGATTATGCAAATGAAGACGATGCAACATTTTTCCGTGAGCCTGTACTACTTTCAGATAATTTACGCCCTAGTTCTGCAGCAGATTCCTCCGCCCGCTCCTTAAGCGCCACCTGGTATGCAACCTCGAAAGCTTCGCCTAGTGTCAATATAATTTCAGTCGCAGAGTCCTGGAAACACAAAACGTGACACTCATGTAAAAATATATTTTATGAGAATTGGATTTCAAGAAAATTTGCGCATCTATAGCTCATAAATTGTCATCTTAAAAATTTGCATTTATTAAGTTTTGAAATGTATTTTATAGTGCAATTCAATGTCATCCAAACCTCTAAAGTTAAAATTTAGTAGCCAGTGGATGCTATGTGTGTGTTCTTTGATATCCTCTAAAACATACTTTAAATTGTTTACAAAACATATGCTTTTTGTGAAATAGAAAATGATGAAAGGCTTGGCAAACACAGTCTCACCTTTAGCAGGGAATATACCTGTGAAGATTCATGTCAACAAACCAACAAAACATTTAACATTGTGAAAAATCTACAAATATCACCCTGGACTCATAATTCAAAATGTCCGCCCCTAACTTTGCATCAATCTCCTTACAAGGTCTTAAAACATATCTTGCGATTACAACTTTCTGTTAACACTTCTCCCAAAGATGTTTTGATACTTGCATAAAGCAGACTGTTAACGTAAAGCCTATACTCTATGACATCACAATATGTTCTCAGTTCAGCATTGTTTTATCATAGAAGGTACACGATTGCTAGGAAGGGGTAACCTGCGTGATTAAACACTCAAGAGGAATGCCCTAGTACGTAGACACACTGGCGCTAGATATCAATTTTTAATAGGTGAAAACTTCACTCTTTTACAGCGTTTTCTTCACATACCTCTTATGGTTTACACGTGGATGAGTCGAGACTTTTGAAAAGTTAAACAAATGTGAAATACACTGTTAAACGTTGTTGATGTTCCTCGCCTGGTCTGGCTTTCAAGTGGAGCTTATTTAGTTTTAACACAGAAAGCTAAGTATCATAGAAACCTAAAGAATGGAGTGGCGCCTTGCCTGTATTAAATATGCCTGGTATTTTGGCATACCTTTAATGAATGCATCAGTATTCTTGCTACCTTAGATGCCTAATTAATCACTGCTTTTTTCAACAATTGAATCTTTGATTTTAGGGAGAGAGACTCCTCATCGGATCTCCCTTTATGCCGCAAGCAACATTTTTGAAATATCACTATTCAGCAGTTATAAGTTTGTATAAAGATGCAGGTATGGAAATGTGGCTTAATATTGGACTGTGAATCTAAATTACATGAGTAAGTTTGTTGGTTTTGGTGAGACATATGATGCCACAGTGAAGCATCCACCTGAACTATATCCCATTGTCTCCTAAAGGAGAAGCCTCTAGGCCTCTAGATTTCATCCTCTGCCATTTACCCATTTACCAAGTACAGTATCTAGGTATTATCCTATATTCAGGCAGTGTTTATCAATTTCTCAAAAACATGCCTAGTAAGTTCCATTATGGTATGAATATCTCAGGTTCAGAGACTAATTGTGATATATGAATATTTGAGCTAAAAATACACATATACCAGAACTTAGTCAAGTCTCCAAAGTTCAAAAATGTCCATAACAATCTGACCACTATCCCGCAGCTCTAGAAGGGGGCCTATGAAGAGACTTCAATCTGACCAAAATACAACCCAGAGGAATTTGTTTACGCTTTGAAATTGGTGAAAATCGAAGAGACAATGCACCAATGAGATCAAGAGATTTTGAAGATGTCTTTGGGTGTCTTAAAGCTAGCTCCGTGACCTTTGTTGATAATTGTCACACAACATCAAAGTAAACACAACCATTTTTTCTCACACGAAATTCAAAACTTTATATTGCATTTTATACTCTAACTATTCAAAAATTAAAAGATACTGTTCATTTCGGGGGAAGTTTTATATACTTTAAAGCATGGATTAAAGGGTCTGCAGACAGAATCTTCTCAGTTCTATCATTATTGCATTATTTCATAAAATAAACAACAAGGCTAGCATGATATCTGGAAGGGGCACCTACCACTTGACGATTCTCTGAAATAGTCCTGTTGCAGGCATAATAGCTGACAGACAGTTCTTTGCATATTAAATTCTTTCACCTCGTTGGATTTCAAGTCCAAAATAATTTTAACCAACCCAAATCCACCAAAACCTTGAGGTAGGTAACCCTCATTTTTTATTCATTAAAATATTTTAATTAAAAAATATCTCTCAAATTTTTATTAGAAATTTCAATAAAGAAATAAATTTATATGCATGTCAAAAACACAAAACATAAACTAGTGATATGTAGAATTAGTCAGATTGTTTGGTAAGGCCATAATATATCATATGGTATCACTGGGATCTCCCAAGGAGACATCTTTCAGCAAGAAAGGAAACAAGTCAAAGTCAATATTCTATAGTATTATTTATTTTCTTTATCATTTATTTGGACACATGATTTTAAATTTTAAAATAGCAATATAACAATGTATGCTCACAATTATATTTTCTTAGGTTTGTAACAACAGGCTTGATTACTTCATTACTATGTTACATAACTGTGAAGTACATGCCGATTCATATTTATAAAACATGAATTCTCAAATCAATTAGCTCCTGAGGGAGAAGTCTCACAAACTAGGAGACATGAAAACCTCCCTGAAAACTATCTTTCCCAAGTGTTGAATCATTGAAGTATTTTGAGGCATTTTCTAATTAGTCTCATGTAAATTCCTTTCTCTCCCTCACATCTTCTTACTTAAGAATACAACTGAAGTGTGAAATTTGCTCTCTGATCTCAATACTCGAACAGATTTGCTCTAAAGCTAAAAATGGAAACACAAAGTGTAACAATCAACGTAGTAGCTCCTAAATGCCTGCTTCGTTCAGTTTCAAGTCACATCACAGATTCAGCACTCCGAGAAAAACTGGCCAACATTTACGCTACTTGCTTTTACTGTCACAATAATTACTTGTCTATTGGGTAAAATAATCATTACATCTTTCTGTAAGAGGTAATTAAAGTTGGAAGATCTTGCAGAATAAAAAGTGGTTTCCTTAATTCTTTAACCCAATTGCATCAATATTCAAGGAAAATGGAGACGTTTTCTTGTTCTGTATTTCCGATATTTCTTTTAACTCTAAAATATAGACACATTTTTTCTCTATTTAATTTTAATTAAGCGACTGAAACATATGTGTTTCTTGTGAGAGAGAATTGGAAAGTTTAGAGTATCACCAGAATACAAAATGTCATCTTTTATCTGTGAGTTTGTCACCAGAGGTAGGACATTTGATACTGTTGTTCTATTATCGTGTAATACCAGTGAGAATTGTGATACTCTCTCATTCACTGAAACCCCTAGGCCATTTTAGTTCAGAAAATTCAGAAAATGTGAACACCACACTTCATTTTTTATAATTTTATCTTCTCTATGTTTTGTGGGTATTTGTTATTTTTCAGGATCCCCATTGCTTCAGAAAATCCAGAAAATGTGAATACCACACTTCATATTTATTTTTATAATTTTGTCTTCTCTATGTTTTGAGGGTATTTATTATTTTTCAGGATCCTGATTGTTTCAGAAAATTCAGAAAATATGAAAACCATATCATTTCTATTAATTTCATCATTTGTCTTCAATTCTATATGGTTTTTGGGGATTTGTTTTTACTCGGAATCCTGAGATTTTGAAATATAGTTTTAATTATTTTCAATAAATCTGCCAAAATATTCAAATGGATCAAAAACTCAATTACCTTGTATGAAGAACTAATCTACTAATCTATATTTAATTGCGTTGCAAAATTTTGAAGAAAACTTGGGCAATTTCTTTGAATATCTCGATCCTATTTGAGATCATTGTATTATATTACCCACTATAAATTAGGAGCTTAACGATGACAGACTTTTAATTTCATTCTATTTCCCATCATACATCATTCTGTGGCTTTTAGAAGCCGTCAAATGAAGCGTCACAGTTGATAGGCTCAAAATAACGATGAATGAATATTACATCATATTGCCATTTGTTAGGAGGACTGGAAAGTAAGTTAAGCTGTGAACCCTGCAAGTGTGTATTTCCATAGTGTTATCAAAAGGCACAAAGGGTAACATTTGAAATATTCAAAAATAAACACATATACAAAATACCCCTATTATATCACCCTCTATATAATCAAATCACATTTGTTAATAAGTGAGACAGATATAACACATTTAAAGGTGACGATAAGTCACATTTGTGTATATCTATGTTCAGATATTTCATTTTTACAGGGTCAGGAGATAGATGAAATCTAAATAGCACTAAGTGTCATATTTAGTAGAGTAAGCCAGTATAAACTTCATGTATAATAACAAAAATACAATGAAATACATGATTTTTAGGGGAGGGGGTCAGCTATTAGAACAATGATTAAAAGGAAAAAATCCCAATAATCAACTTATTGTTGAATATGAGGAAATGAGGTGATAAGATAAATATGCGGGATGTGAGAGCCACTCCATCTATGGTATCTTTAGTTGCAAAAATACTAGTTGTTTATTTTTGTACCAGGCAACAAACTGTGCATATTCTATGCAGTGATTTAAAAATTCTTTGCAAAATATCACATAACATTCTTCACATTGGCTTTTATTATACTACAAAGTACTTCAAAGAAATTTTGCAAAATATAAAAACTTACAAAACATTTTACTTGGATATATACAAAATCTGGACATGTTTTTAATTATTAAAAATAATTGAAATTACAAAGTATAGCCTGTCATACTCTTTGATTGCAATCAATTAGGGACTGATAAAAATGACAAGTGCAGTACTGAGAGTCAACATTACTAACTACAAACATAGAACTGCTGTCTGTGGATCTCTAAACAATTATTAATCCCTTGTCTTCCTTCTCATGTATTAACAATAGAAAACACTATGAAAATACATGAAATATGGGAGAAATACATGGACACGGGACAAACCATTGTGGCTGTTACTAGAAAATGAACAAAATGTAGTTATTATTCATGTAGTAATAAAAATATCAAAAGAGTATACTCAATGGACTACTGATGGTCCTTGACTCTGCTAAAAGGGATAGTTGTTATAAACCATATGTGATG